TATTATAAGATCCCTGTAACTGCTAAAGAATTTGCAGTAGTATTTGATGCCATAGTGGCCTTATTCAATTTGTTTCAGGCAATGCATCTTCTGAATCTATCTCAATATAATAATATCAATCAATTAAGTATTGATAGTGTAAAAATTATAGATAAAAAATGTAAGAACTTTTTTTTTAGAGAATTATGTAGAACTACATTATTGCCTAAATGTAAACCTTTTTGGAACTCATTGTATAATCCGATTGAATGGAAAGAGGTCTGGAGTCTACCCAGTAAATACTGTCTTACTAATAAAGTTAAAGAAATTACATATAAGATTATTCATTTGATTTATCCAGTGAGACAAGTTGTCTCAAGATTTTTAAGAGATATGGAGACAACATGCACCTTTTGTAACACAGAAGAAGAATCAATAAAATATTTATTCTTTGAATGTGCATTTACCCAGCTGATGTTGAATATTTGATATTTAAATTCACAAAATTAAAGATTTGTCTATCTGGCAAAGATATTTTTTTGTTATACAAAAATAAAAGTGTGGAGCAAAATTTGGTGATTAACTTAATAATTATGTATGGAAAAAAACATATTCACAAACAGAAATGGACAAATAATAAACCTAACATTACATTATTAAAAATTGAGCTTAAACATTATATTGAAGCCCTAAAAGATGCAAGAAATAAAAAAGCGAAATGGATGTATACTATTTTTGAATCCCTTTCTTTTTGGAATATTTTGTAATGATGTTTCCCCTGTATTGTTTAATTTTTTGTTTTGTTTTTTCTGTCTATTGTTTCTTTGATGCTATTATGAATGTAATACTATGTGATCCTCTGTATGTGTATGTTATATATTGTTCTTGTTATGCAATAAAAATAAATAAATAAATAAACAATGAAAAAAAAAAAAGACATGATGCATGCAGCATGCGACAGAGCTGTCCGTTAATGACGTGATAGTATGTCCCAAAGCTTGCCTACTCTTTTGCTACACACTCAAAAGTATTTACTTTTTCCTCACAAAAAGAGTACATACTTTTAGGGCGTAGTATAAGTAAGCGAATTGGGACGCAGCAGTAGTCAGGACAGGACCGTGTTCAGTGAAAAAACTTCAGTTGGGTACTGCGGTCAAGTGGGCCGCGCTTGGAAAATACACGGTCAAGCCAGCCGCACTTTTTTTTTAAAATGCGCGTCAAATCCTGCACTTACGGTATGGGTGCTGAAAGACGCCAAAATTGATTTTAAGACTCCTTTGCCTGATATTTCCCATCGTATTAGGACAAAAAAAAAATAATACAATTTCATGATCTTTCCCTAACACATGACTTTTAATATTGTTTGTTTGTTGTTATTGTAATGTTTCTAGGCTTAAATATTAATTATACCAATTATAGGCCTAATGTATTCATGTTCATATTATTAAACATTATCATACATTTTTATTGTTAATATTTACGTTTTTTAGACTACTTTCTGCTATTTTCCATCTTATTCGCAGACAAAAAATATATATATTTTTAAAAACATGACTTTTTCATTTTTTATTATTATTTTAAGGTTTGTAGGCCTATATATGATTTACATTAATTTAAATTTTATTTTTAAAGATTTAATTTATTCATGCTCGTGTTAATGTTAATTATCAAACATATTTTTTTTACATTTAATTGTTAATTTGAATGTTTATATATATATATATATATATATATATATATATATATATATATATATATGTATAATTTGATTTTTTATTATACATTATTATTGCCTACTTTATTAATGTAAATGAAATTGAATATTAATTATTGATAAATTTATTTAGCTTTTTTGTTGATTTTAATGTTTGTATATGTATACACTCATTATTAATGATGATTATTTACTTATTTTACTTTTTTATGTTAATGTAAATGACAAATATGATACAACAGGCTTTTAGTGGCTTTTAATCTTTCAATTATCATTGAATTTCTCATATATATATATATATATATTTGCTCCCATGTTCAAACGATATACACGTCCCATGTTGAAACACACATAAAAAGTGTTCCTTCATAGGTTTGCTCATTTTCTCAACTGATTCCTGTTCAAAGGGACCCTGGCTATTAATTTATGTATTATCAAGTCATTGTACTGTATAATTTTGGAGAAAAGTTCAGGCAAACCCAGCCCAATCAACCAAGTCCAATGTTCAAACACTCATAAAAAGTGTTCCTTCATAGGTTTGCTCATTTTCTCAACTGATTCCTGTTCAAAGGGACCCTGGCTATTAATTTATGTATTATCAAGTCATTGTACTGTATAATTTTGGAGAAAAGTTCAGGCAAACCCAGCCCAATCAACCAAGTCCAATGTTCAAACACTCATAAAAAGTGTTCCTTCATAGGTTTGCTCATTCTCTCAATTGATTTATGTTCAGAGGGACCCTGGCTATCGCTGTATGTATTATCAAGTCATTTTACGGTATAGTTTTGGAGAAAAGTACAGGCAAACTCAGCCCAATCATCAAAGTGTGTTATAGCACTTAAACCAAGTCCAATGTTCAAACACTTTAATAAAAAGTGTTCCTTCATATGTTTGCCCATTCTCTCAATTGATTTCTGTTCAGAGGGACTCTGGCTATTACTGTATACTTATCAAGTCATTTTACTGTATAGTTTTGGAGAAAAGTGCAGGCAAACCGAGCCCAATCATCAAAGTGTGTTCTAGCACTTAAACCACGTCCCATGTTCAAACACTCATAAAAAGTGTTCCTTCATAGGTTTGCTCATTTTCTCAGCTGATTCCCTTTCAGAGGGACCCTGGCTATATTGTCAAGTCAATTTACTGTATATTTTTGGAGAAAGTACAGGCAAACTCACCCCAAAGTGCATCAAAAAGTGCGTTCTAGCACTTAGACCACGTCCCATGTTCAAACAGTCATAAAGTGTTCCTTCATAGGTTTCCAAAACTATAGACCTTATGCACCAGAGAAACGTGGGCGCCGTCATCTTTAGAATATTGTCTTTGAACTTCAGGTTTTGTGGTCACTCTGTATATTTCTATGGCTTCGCTGTCGAGGAGTAATTAGCTGGTGAAGTGGATTTACTTATTGTAGAGTTAAACAAGATATCATGAGCATTGTAATGTTATCCTAAGCATTGTAAAGCAGATGTCTTAACAAATGTTGACCGGGAATTTTTTTACGAGCAGTTCATTCATACGCTGTGAAAATCAGCGTTCATTCATACGCTGTGAAATTTTCTTCTTTAATGATGATTTTTATCAAACTTGTATATTTAAGTTCAGTAATTTCACTTAAATAACAATTAATAGGTAATTATCATTGCCATTAAAGTGAAATTACTGAAATTAAATATACAAGCTTGATAAAAATTATCATTCTAGAAGAAAATTTCAAATGGCACTTAGAGGCTTTTGCATCTGAACTCTTCATATATATATATATATATATATGAAGAGTTCAGATGCAAAAGCCTCTAAATGCCATTTGAAATTTTCTTCTTTAATGATGATTTTCATCAAACTTGTATATTTAAGTTCAGTAATTTCACTTAAATAACAATTAATATATATATATATATATATATATATATATATAAACATTCAAATTAACAATCAATTAAATGTAAAAAAATGATGTATGATATAATTAACATTAACACAAGCATACATTTAAATTAATGTAAATCATATATAGGCTAGGCCTACAAAGATTAATTAATAATAAAAAAATTAAAAAGTCATGTTTTAAAAAGATATTGTATTATTTGTCTCCTAATAAAATGGAAAATAGCAGAAAATAGTGTCTAAAAAACATAAATATTAACAATAAAAATGTATGATAATTTATAATAATATGAACATAAATAGATTATAATTAATATAATTGATATTTAAGCCTAGAAACATTACAATAACAAAAAAACAAAATTAAAAGTCATGTTTTAGGAAACAATCATAAAATTGTATCATTTGTGTCCTAATACGATAACAAATAGCAGGAAAAGGAGTCTTAAAATCAATTTTGGCGTCTTTCAGCACCCATACCGTTAGTGCAGGATTTGACGCGCATCTACGGGTGTGATGAGATTGGAGTTGTAAAGAGCCCAGATCTTAGTGGAGTCAAAGGGTAAAGCACACTGGAGGAATCACAAACATCTTGAACCATTCCCACACCAAACACAAACTGATCTGAAACATTGTGTCTAGATGCACTACAAAATAACAAAAGCTACCATATCATACTAGATATGGCTGGATTTCCAAACCTAGGCTTCACTGTTTAAGTGTTGTGGGAAATCCGATTTAAAGCATGTGTTATTGCAAGGAGTAATTCTGATTTTTCGTTATTATTTGAGTAAATTTTCAGTTTTGTATTACATGGATGTTGTAATGTTTGTGAAACTAAAGTACTTTTTATTAGGAGGACATATAGGGGATTTTATAGGGGAAATATAACTCAGGGAAGATAACTGATGATGTATGTTAGTATACAGTGGGTGTGTCAAGTATATTCATTCCTGTATCGTGGGGGTTCCCTGCAGAAAAACAAGTTCATTAAGTGATGCAGAGTGATGTTATAAACATTACAAGACGGAAATTTTTTCCCAATTATATAACACACGTGTGACAAACGTTCAAAGGTCAAGGCCATTTTTCTAAAATAAATAAATAAAATGTTTCGATCACTGTAGCGCCACCATGAGTCTGATTGGGGCAATGCTTTCCACTAATACAATAACAATTAACGTTAGGGTTTAAAGTTGAACCCCTAACAATCCTTACAATAAATATACTTACAGTGCATCACGTTAGGATTAATAATAAAAATCCTAACAAAAACTGTATTTACGTCGTGATGGAAAACACTTTTAAACACATAATTGTAGCTACTTCACACTTTGTTGTCCATAAACAACAGACTGCGCAAATGAGGCTGCGGTTGATGCTCTTGAAGCGCCATATCATGTTCAGTGACCGTCAGTGACGCATTATTGGCTCCACCCACAATGCAACGCAGACAAGGGAACCTCCAAGACAAGAGGACCAAAGGCTCTTCTAAACAAAACTGACATTACACCGATGATTATTTCATTCTGAGGACACCGATTCAGCGTTATTTTCTTACTCGACATATTTCCAAGTAGACGGAATCCGATACTGAGAGGTTTGGATTATATCTTAATGTGCTTTCAGCCTCTAGTCTATAACATCATAGTAAGACCAGCGGCGTCAGATAAACAACGCCGTATCAGCGTCCTTCTAGCGGTATTTTTTATCCAGGACAACTTTAAAACCAAAACTTCTCTGTGATATTCTTGGCTGCCGATTGTTTGATAACTTTATTACGCAATTTGTTTATTTGACTGACATTACAGTCAGCTATTCTATCTATCCAGCCATTCTCCTCCTCGGGGAAAAAGCGACGCCCTCAGGCCGCCGGTGGTATTGCAGGTGCCGGTGAGTTGTAAGTGAGACACTGGGAGTCTGAATAATTTAACTGTGGAAAATGAGCTCAGAGGAGGCGGCAGCTCCAACTAAAGCTGGCACAGAGGACGATGGCATGTCCTGGTGGTACCGCTGGATCTGTAAAATGGCTGGGGTTTTAGGTGGCATATGTAAGTATCAGACGTGTTGTGCACATATGTCTGTTTAATGCAGAATTATACATCATTGTGATGGTATTTGAAACCTTTTTCCATCAAGTATACTTTCCTACACTCAACACACACAATTATGTCCTGTGCTGGACTTCTTGTGGTTTCCCATCCTTCATTGTGGTATATCAAAAAATAAATAAAAAATAGTGCTGTCAAATCGATTAATCACATCTAAACATAAAAGTGTGCATATCGATTAATCACATCTAAACATAAAAATGTGAGCATAAATATATGAGCGACCCCCATCTTGAATTTAACAATATTAATAGGTGTAAAATGTTTTTTTGAAAATATTTAGATTGCATTACATTATTTGTTTTTTTCCCCCTACATACTATAGTACTTTCCTGTAATTATTTTGCCTTTTTTTTACACAAACCCCAGTTTGACCCCCTGCTGTACAACATTAATATATGGATTATTATCATTATTTTGGGATGAAGGCGCCAGCATGTCTAATCCATCACACCTTCACACAGTGACTCCCATAAAACCCATAGAAGTCCTGTCATGGAGAATCAATACATACCTATAAGTACCATAGTTGTGCCATGGTGATACCATAGTATTCTTTGAGATACGTTATCATGCAAATTGGCTTTATATATTAAAATGGCAGTGCTTTATTATTAAATGTCAAAGTGCCGGAAATGAGATTGTATAGTGATTTCAAATATCAAAGCGCTTTTAATCTGTCATATTTTGATAAATAAGCTGTGCTGGTTTGTATGAGGACATTTTTTTGTGGACACTGTCATGGTAACACAGGTGTCATAGCAACTGCAACTTTCTTTTCTCTTGCTCTTTTCTTTCTCATCCTTTTGTTCGGTCAGGTTTTGTGACGGATCACCATGTGTTACGAAACAATATCTCTCTATGTAGTGCAGGGGTTTTTAGAGGCCATGATTCCCAAATATGATTATTCTCATGCAAGAGAGAGACCCACATCCTAAAACTCAGCAGCCGTCTATATTGTTTACAGTGTTAGCGTGTGTGTGTGTGTGTGAGCGCATTGTGTTTACGGGTTAGGGGATAATATAGTTTGTACAGTGTAAAAATCATTATGTATATGCCTCATAAAACATGGAAACCCAGTGTGTGTGTGATCAGTCAGCAATAGCTCTCTGTTTTTCTCTACATATGCTGAGACACAGATGACAGAAACAGCTGTTCATCAAAGCCAACAAAAGCTCATTTGTCCCAGGAGAGCAGCTGCTCGCAGCAAACGCCTGTCCTTCCTCTGCGCTTTTGAGCGTTCTGTTACTGAACAGAGTATAACAGGTTCCTGAAGCAGCCATCAAACAAATGTGCATGCACATTTATTCATTTACTTTCTACAAAAAAATATTTACCTATTATGTTTAGTATTTTAAGGTAATATTTAATTCATTTTACAACACATTTGCTTATTCATAGTTCTCTTATAATAGTTAACTGTCACATGACATGCAGGTAAACAAATCAAATATTTCATTTTTTTTTAAAATTATGTTTTTTTTTTTTTTATTTCTAAATTATTTATTTGAATTGCTATCATTTAATTGATTAAACCCCGGGCTATTATTTAACCTCGACCATGTAGCGACTACAACAGTTTTTAGAGAATTTACCAAAAATAACAATTTTGATTTATTGTTTACATGAAAAGTTCACAAATTGAATTTCTCTGTCTTGTTTTCCAGCGTGCGCAACAATGGGCGTTTGGAACTGCGTGACTGTGAATCCCTTAAACATCGTGGCTGGAGTTTGGATGGTGTAAGAACTTGTGTTTTAGTTCCCACTGTTTATTAATCCACGTAGAGAAGCCGAGCAGAAGATGAAATATCTCTTTTTTTCCCCTCAGGATGACGGCGTGTGTGTTGTTCCTGTGTGAGGTGCCGTTCTGCTGTCAGTTCGTTGAGTTTGCGAACGTGATTGCGGCGCGTGCCGACCGCCTGAAGCCCTGGCAGAAAGCCCTGTTTTACTGCGGGTGAGTGAGTGCACCTCTACAGCGGGTCACGCCAGTGCCTAATAATAAATGTTACTGTGGTGGAACCAAGCGTGCCGCACAAGCCCTCAAAAGTGAAGCCAAAACGTCTCGATCACCCCCCTGTGACCGGTCCTAGTATAGGTCATAAACCCCACCTCCACATGTTATTCAACAGGACGTGAGACCAACTAAACAATTAAATTACACTTCACATATCCTTTTTCCAGAGATAGTTTCTGTTGTTTATTGTAGTTTCTATCACGTTGGTGTAATTTCAAGAGTTTGTTTTTAAAATAAGTTTGTTTTTAGTTAGTTATGTGATGCTATAAAAACCGGTGCTGTGACATTCATGATTGACAGCTGTGATTGACAGGTTCTCTGTGCGAAGTAGTCACTGAAGCACCAACAGACTTGTTTTCATGTTGTTGACTGTGATTAGTAGTTGTATTTACCTTATTTTAACGAGGTTCTGCTATCACCAGACACCATTGGAGAAGAACGGAGCCTACAGAGGCCACTTAATGAAAGTGCGGGGCGTGTGCTTGCGTGTGATTGCGTGAGATTTTTGCGGTTTTATTTCCTGCTCACGACTGCGCATGTCTGGTCACGAAAAAACGCAAGTTCCAAGATGTCAGCGCTATATCGGGACACTGGCGGCTTCAGTTCTCTCTGATGGAAAAGAGCGAAGGGGTGTTGTCCATCTTTTTTTACAGTCTATGGGTGGAACTAATACATATTTACAATGAAACAAGTGGGCACGTGATAACTCCGAAAGCCTTTTGTCCCAGTGAGCTGTTGTTGGTTTTCATTGTTTCACATGAGATATTTTATCCCCTAACAAATGTAACTGTCTAAAAAATTAATTAAAGCAGCACTTTGCAGGATTTCCGTTTTTGTCAAACTGTGACCCCTAGAGTCGCTGTGGAGTACTTGTACTGTCGTAAATAGCACTCACGCAGAGATGTCTCTGCACTCACGGCCTGATGCCCTCCCCCTGTATACCGGTAACTGTTCAGTAGGGGGCGAGACGCCCAACATTCAACCCGAAGATAGTCATATAACCATTGCAATAACTCCGAAGCTATTCAGTTAAGGTAAAAAAAAAACTGCAAAGAGCTGCTTTAATTGAAAGTATTGGTTTCTGGTGTAAAAATGTCAAAGCACACTAATGGTGTGTGTAAAATTAAGTAGCCGCCTAAATTATTCTTTATTTAATAGTTAGTACATTTTTAAGATTAAAATAGGCTAAACAATACTTTCACAGCACTTATTAATCAACGTTGAGGTTAATTTTGGCTTATAGCCGACTGCTACATTAGAAGTTGCATAAACTAACGTTACCATGTTTTTTTATGTTTTTGAAAGATGTTTCTTCTGCTCACCAAGGTTGCATTTATTTGATCAAAAATACTGTAAAAACAGTAATATTGTGAAATATTATAATTTAAAATCACTGTTTCTATTTGAATATATTTAATAATAAATGTATTCCTGTGATCAAAGCTGAATGTTCAGCATTATTACTCCATTCTTCAGTGTCACATGATCCTTAAAAAATCATTCTGATTTGCTGAATTTCTCTTATTAGCAGTGTTAAAAACAGGTGTGCTACGCTTCATATTTTTTCATGGAGGCTCAGATGCTTTTTTTCAGGATTCTTTGATGAATAGAAAGTTAAAAAGAACAGCATTTATTTGAAATAGATTTTTTTTTAATGGATCCATTTAATGCATCCTTGCTGAATAAAAGAAAACATCTTACTAACCCCAAAGTAAATGGTATTGTATTTAAAATTGTTACCCTGGTGTTGTTGTTTTATGGTCAGAATTAATGCTGATGTCACTTTCTCCTTAGGATGGCACTGTTTCCCATCTTTCTAAGATTTTCCCTGACAACTCTGTTCGGTAATGCCATCGCATTTGCTACCGGGGTGCTGTACGGACTCGCATCCCTCGGAAAGAAGTGAGTGCATTTTTCCATTTTCTTAGAGCAAAAGAAGCTCATAGAGCAAAACTTTTCTCACGTAGACCCTGTTTACCTGGTATTAAAGGGATAGTTCACTTTGAAATTAATTTTTGATATGTTTTAGCTTACCTCAAGGGCATCCAAGATGTAGGTGTCTTTGTTTCCACAGTATTTTCAATTGTGATATTTTTAGGTCAAACCGTTCGTCATATAATGGAGGTCTATGGGGTCCACCTCAAAAAGCATGCACAGAGAAGTCCAAATTAAACATGATTTAATGACTTGTAAATGTTAGTACACAATGATGGCTTAAAACACAAAACAAGCGGTTTGTGTGAAAAAACGAACAGTATTTATATCGTTTTTACCTCGTGTAACCACAGCCACGTGCAAGTGACGCGGTGCTTCGGTCTGCGCAAGCGCTGTAAAGCGGCGGAAGTGATCTAGTGGTTTGTTAATATATCAAAATCGTCTTCCATTGCAATTTCCTGTATATCTAAATATGTTTAGATCTTCACAGTGAAAGGTAAAACTTCCGAAATCTCTGTGTAAACAATGAGTGACGTACACGCACAAGAGATCACTTCCAGCACTTTTGCAGGCCGAAGTGCCCGCGCCCTCAGATCACTTGGACGTGACTGTGATTACAAGAGGTAAAAACGGTATAAATGATGTTCGTTTTCTCACACAAATCGCTCGTTTCGTGTCTTAGGCCATCAATGTGTACTTGCATATACGAGACATAAAATCACAGACCTGCATTATATGACTGACAAACAAGAACAGTTTGACCTAAAAATATCAAAATTGAAAATACTGTGGAAACAAAGACACCTACATCTTGGATGCCCTTGAGGTAAGCTAAAACATATCAAAAATGAATTTCAAAGTGAACTATCCCTTTAAGATGCATTTTGGTCGAGTAGAAAGCAGTAATGATGAGAGAACATTGTGCTTGGTACGTTTTTTCATCTTCAAACCAAACTTGGGTCTTCCCAGCTAGCTATTCCCATTATGTTTACGTGTTAGTTCAGTAGGCGGAGAGTAGACGGTCTTGTGGCTGTTCGAACACGTTTACATCACTAAAGCAATCCCGTTAAATGCGTTTTCGACTAGCTCTAGAAGTGGTTGAACGTGGACAAGCTCAAAAGGTTTTAGACCCTGTTTACACCTGTATTCAGTGTCGTCCACTTGTGATCCGATTGTCCAAAACGCATCTTAATACCAGGTGTGAACAGGGCCTGAGTAACTCTTTAAATGCATTTTGCTTTTATGACCTTTATTGAAGAAATGATTGAATATTGTGTGTTTTCTCTATTTCAGAGGCGACGCTGTGAGCTACGCTCGATTGCAGCACCAAAAACAAGCAGAGGAAGAGAAGGTTGCAGAAACGACAGACGGTTCTGTGCCGTGAACCTCTCCTATTCTCCTCCTTCACCACCTCACTGCATCCTTTCCCTCTCGTTTCCCCTTAACATGACAAAACGCATCACCTGCTGTGCTTCACGGTTTGTTGGGACGTATTTAAGCTAACCTTTGACGACTGACGGCGTGAGTCAGTCAGTGGAAATCAGTTCTCTGGTTTGTTTGTGTAGGATTTAATTAATAAAATGAGTTTTAAGTGAATGTTTTCATTTGCGCTCTCGTGCACAGTTTCTATTTTTATCAGACTTTCTAAAAACCAACATGTTTTCATTTACATTTCACTTTACCAAACTCAGTGCTGGAGTGTAAATGAATGCATTAACTTCAGCTCTCATATCAGACCACCTCAACTCAAGCGCAGGGAATTGGAACTTTGGCCATTGGGATTTTTTTCCACCCCAGAATTCTTTGCTCTGTAGCTGAGAAAAAAGGAGAGATAAGGGATTTTCACTGAACGCGTTTTTACATTCCACTGCGGCACTTTTCCATTGTCTTTCTACACAAACGCATACTAAACGGACGTGCTTGACCATTGCACTCCCGTCTTTTGCAGTCTCACTTCACATTCTATCGGAAATTTCCTACTTCCCACTTCTGAAGTCGTGATTACGAGATCATCGCATTCAAGTGCTTTGATGTCGGAAAGACAAAATGATAATTAGCGTCCTTGGCAAACACAAACATTCACCACACTGTCAAATACAGGCTTTTTTTTTGCTGTGTATTATACACTTCAAATGATTATTCATATATGTAAATATGCACTACTTTAACGACAAGGCAGTCTCGGCAGCAGTCGTTCTTTCCTCTGGCATTTTTAAAGTTCGTGACACACCTAACTCGGAAACTCTAAATGATCCCAGAACTCCAGTGGTAAATACGACTTGTCCAATTAACTAGGAAACTCATATTTATGATAATTCCGATAGGACGTGAATGCAGCATTAGTTCAACTTATTAAAAATCGCATTTCTAGACCTTGGCTGCGTCTGAAAACTTAAAAATGCTGCCTTCGGAGGGCGAATTCTAAGGTAGTGAAGCAAGGAGCGTCTGAATGCAGTGCTAGCTGCACTTCCTGTCTCCTGAGATACCTTAATCTGATTGCTTCTTTAAGGCAGCATACAGTAGGTGTACCCTTAGCTGCCTTTGATCTCCCACCATCCATTCTGTGACAGTTGAGCTAAAAAATAAAGATGGCGTCTAAAAAATGCGGTTGGTGGTCAGTTTGTGTGTAGATGTACGTTTTTGACCAAAGTTTATCACTTTTAAAGTAACTTCTCGTGATAAATTACTATTGTAGTCGTTAAATATTTATGTATCTTTGAAACTCTGTATTTTGCTATAGATCATTAAACCATAACACTCTGCCTCAGAAGTCTGTCCGAAATCAGTGAGGTATCTTTGAGCGCAAACACTACTTGCAAAGTCAATACCTATTAGAGCCCGACCGATAAAGGATTTTGAAGGCCGATACGATACAAATATTTGTTGGTTTTTAAAATCCGATCCGATATATCGGCCGATATATATATATTTTTATTATTATTTTACGCTATTAAATAAATACTGCAGTCACATTGTCAAAAGTTAAAAGGGCAGTCAGTCAACTACGTAACTATTACTAGCTAATTCCGCTTCACTTTCGGCTTATTTAACAGCAGCAAAACTGGACATGATCGTCACAAATTTTGTCAAGCTTATTTGAGTTAAGAGAACTGATGCGGATGTTCTTTTAGTTGTTATTCAAGCAATGTATGTCTCGTGACCAACTCAACGAGTGTTGCCAACAGGGACTGTGTAGAGTGCCCTCTGGTGGACAAACAATACAACTCCAACACTCATGACATGGTTCAAGCGTGTTTCGTCCATTTTTATTTTATTTTTGAAATATTCATTTATCGGCCATTGTAACTGCCGATACCGATAGTTTGGAAAATGCCTAATATCGGCCGATAATATTGGCCTGCCGATATATCGTTCTGGCTCTAATACCTATAAGGCAGCAAGGCAACAAGTCAGCTGCCTAAGTTTTCGAACGCAGTCCTTGCGTTTTCCCCCCACGTCACTAGCCTGCGTTTTGAGTTTTTAACTGCAATAACGCGTTCTGTGTGAATGGCCCCTAATCCTTTCAAAGAGCAAACAAACTTGTATTTTAGTGTGTAGGCATGGTCCTAATATGTTTCAGCGATTGCAGGTGTGTTTAAGGCCACTGCAGGGATTGAAACTAGTGTATTTGTGTGTTTTGTGTGCCTCTGCTAACTGGCCTTTACCCAGAATCCTTTGCTGCAGCATGTTTGCTGTTTGTAAGAAATGGTGGAATGTAATTTTTCTACACGCGCTGCTCTAAAATCTTGCTGTTACTTTCTTTATTTCATATTTGCTGAAAGAGTGTCTGACCTGCGCTTTCTGCTTGTTTCTTTCAAAGCTTGTGTGAGCGTAACTCTGAATGATGAGATGTGTTTCTAGTGGTTTACGTTCTGTTTTCAGTCTTCTAAAGCCATCTGTCTGTTGCTGCACTGAAGAAGGGCTTCTTTACCGGAATAAGAAACGATTCAGTTTGTTGATGCTGTGATGACGTGTTGTTTGCTTATTTCTGCATCTATCTGAGCCAGTCTTAACACTGACCACTGGAATGAAAGCCAAAGTTACAAAAGAACTATAGTGGAGGTCGGAGGTCATTTGTCCTGTCCTGACCTTAGTGTTCACGCTGTTACTTAAGGAGGCTTGTTTCCACCAGAGAATTAAAAAAGGGAATTAAGACTTTTTATAGCTCACAATTTCCTCAGAAATCTGAAAAATGGATTGACTCTTTATTTCAATTTTGTTCATTTTGAACAAAAAAAGTTACATAGTGTACCTTTTAAGCACATTTGTTTACTTAAAATACATTTATAAAATTTTGAATAGCATGAACAACAGGAATTAATAATAGGCATGAGAATTTGCAAAAAATGGTCGCAATTGCTGAAAAAAATCAATTTCATTAATAAAAATAAACCTTTTTTCCTTTTCATTTTTTGGGTAAATTGTGACCCGAATTGTGAATTTTTGAAAATTGTGTTCGTGAAATTCACCCTTGTAATCGGGGTTATGCTTCCTTGAAATGCTTTCCATTTTTTAAGTTTCAATTTTTAAAAGGCAAAACTTTGCATGTAGCCTACTGTTTAGCAAGTAAACTGTTTTTCAGTAACACTACTGAGTCTTGTTAGTTGTTGTCTAGTTAAATCTCCACCAGCACACAAACCAGCTTGAATCGTATGTCTAAGTTACCTAGATAAATTGAAAGAAAGAACTTACGTTACGAAGTCCAAGTGATGTCGGAAAGATCAAATTTATGAGTTGAATGCACATGAACGCCACCACAAAGTTGTAAATATGAGCGGAATATCTTGATACTGAGTCAGGCCTGCACAAAATGATAGCACTGGAATATGACATTCATATGTAAGTTAACGATAAGTGACTTAGTTTACAGTGACTTCATACATTTATTAAAAATATAATAAAAGCAAAACACACCCGATGTACATTTTGTTCTTAATTTTCCTGAAGCAGAGTTAAACACTTGCTGTGTTTTTGTGATAATTATGAGAAGGAACGCCATCTTGCTCCGACGATAGTGAATTGAACGCACTTGAGTCGTGAAATACGACTTCTCAATACGAACTTCCCGGACACACAATTATTTATCACTAACTTTGATGTACAATCCCCCCAATAGCCTTAGTCCATCTGTAGAGGAGTTTAAATATCAAGTCACTATGATATTTATTTAAACTATAATTTTCTTAAAGACGGAAGTCTAGTCTTGTCATCTCAATATCCGTTACTAAACATCTGTATGACCTGACAAACACAACAGTACTGATTGAAAAAACTAAGGAAGATATTTTGAAAAACCAAACTTTGTTCCACACAACCTAAACTTGAATATTTGTTATTAGCTGTCTAGCGGTGATCTTGTCCCAATGTGTATTAGTTTTGGATCAGTGATATGTGACTAATTGACTTTCAATGATGTGTACAAAAAGGTCTGAGATTGAGACTCTTTTTCTGTTTTCCTCATGAGCTAAATAAAGGCATCTGTCTTTGACCTCCTTTGCTTGTTGTTTTAATGTAAGAGTTTCTAACTTCCAAGATCTAAAATATAATTTAACTTTTACGATTTACACTGAGGGGTGTAAAAATGTGAAATAATTGGCGAGTGAATTTTTTTATATAGAAAAAGATATAGAAAAAGAGAAATATATATAATTAAGAGTTATGCTCAACAAGGCTGCATTTATTTGATGAAAAATTATTTTCTGATTTATTGCTTAACTTATTATCAATTTTAAAAACAATTGTGCTGCTTAATAATGCAATGTAAAAGTAACAAATTACTTTTAATTTTACAACTAAATATCTGCATTACTTTTTCAAAGTAGTGACATGTTACTTTTGTTCTTAAGTGCAGAGGTGTTTTGTGCGTCTGAAGTGTGAACATGATGGCCATTCAGTTCTAGACTAAATATGAACATGTCTTTACTCATCTCACTTGCTCAAAGACAGATTCAGTATTGATAAAAATGTGAAATGAAAACTGAATCCTTGTTTAATCTCACTTTATTAACCAATGACCTTTGATGACCCAATTCAACCACACCAATATGAAACAAATACTTCACATTGGTTAAATTGTTCTGTTTTTTATTGTAGAAGTATGAATGTTGAATCCAGAACAGCAGCACAGCTGAAAGGTTTGTAGGAAATGCACCCTCTACTGTACAGAAACGATTTTACAGCGTATTAACTTTTTAATGAGCCCAGGTGAAAAAAAGTTACACAAAAGTAATGTTTTTTGAAAGCATTACTTTTCACAAAAAAGTAACTAAGACAATAATTGCCTTTTTTGGGGAGTAACCCAATATTGTAATGAATTGCTTTTAAAAGTAACCTTCTCCAACAATGGTGGGAGGAATGATGCAGGAATATTCAATTAGAAAACAGTTCTTTTAAATTGTAATATTACACAATGTTACTGTTTTTCCTGTATTTTCAGTTCTTTCAAACATATAAAAAGGCATATGACAAACATTTTGACCACCAGTGTAATTATTACTTGTAAGATTACCAATTAGCAAGTTTAATGTCATTATTATAGATGTACTCAATGTTTGCAAAGTAAAACTGACTCTTTGAACACCCCAGCACGTGATTTCCCAGAATACATCAGCACAACACATCCAGTTGCAGGACTTTAATAAGTGTTCAAACTGAAAACTGAAATTTTATACAGGATGAAAAACTACATTACTTGGTGTTAAACAGGCTTGATAGTACAGTCACACATTTAACCTGAAAATCTGACCGGTTTGACTGTCTGATTCCTCAAATAAGAAGTTCAGACTTGAAATCAAGAAACAGTTAACCAGTAGAGACAGTTAATTAAATAGTTCATCATTACATAACTGACGAGATTGTGTAACTCCAGAACGATCCATGTCACCGATCGATGTACCGCTTCAGTCTGTTGTGATTTGCGACGACAGAGAAGAGTTTTTATTGGCGATCTGAGTTCATTTGCTGTGTTCTTTAGGAGCTTTGGGTTTTCGTGGACTTTTCTTATATTTTCCCGCCCGCGCGGCTTTAAGCTCCGCCTCCCACTGCTTCTTCACCATAGTGTACAATCTCATGGTGGCCTGAGCGTCCTGAACCTGCGAGTTCAGCCAACAGGACACACAGACACAGCAGGGTTCAACAACACAATCAAACCACCAGCTGTACCTTACGATCACAAAACACTTTGTAATAATGATACGGCGGTTTGCAAACAAACTGCAAATAATCTTAAGGGGCTTTGGCTAACATTAACTGATTAAAAGTTTTGAGGTCGGTAAGATTTTTGGGAATACATTTATTCAGCAAAAATGCATTAATTTGATCAAAAGTGACAGTAAAGTCATTTTTAATCTTACAAAAGATTTCTATTTCAAAAAATTGTATCACTGCTGGTTCCACAAAAATTTTAAGTTCCACTTTTTTAAGCATTGATAATACGAAATGTTTGTTGAACTGTTTCTTGAGCAGCAAATCATCATATTAGAATGATTTCTGAAGGGTCATGTGACACTGAAAACTAAAGTAATGATGCAGAAAATTCAGCTTTGATCACAGGAATACATTATCAAATACATATAGTTATTTGAGATTATTACTGTTTTACTATATTTTTGATCAAATAAACAACAGGCTTGAGAGCAGAAGAGACTTCTTTAACGTTAATTTAACTCCTTAACTTACATTATAAGTGAAAAGGTCAAGTCAAGTAAGGTCAAGTTTTTATTGGAGACTTACGGATGAGTGTTCGCCCTGCTGGACTTTAACATTGAGAATCTCTTTGCATAAAACCCGCAATGCAGGACACCCGGACTGAGGAAGAGGACAAGAGGAGTTCATTAAACATGAACATAACTTGAAGTCAGTAATTGCACTTAACATAGTATATATATTAATTTAAGATTCATACCTTTACTTTCTGCCTAAATGGTTTGTATTTCTGTGTGTCTCTGATCATTTTCTTGGGATGGCCCAACAACAAAATCTATAAACAAGACAAATCTCATTATTTATTCACCCTCATGCCATTTCAATGCAATATGCTGTTATATGGGCCATTCGACAGATTCGGTGCAAACTGCTGTCCCATAAACAAAAAACAAATTTGAAACGAATTTGATTATTCAAATTTTAGATTTTTACAAAGATCCTTCTATTATCTATTGAATCCCACAATAATATTTAAATTATTAGTAAGCTAAATGTATATAAAATCATCATTTATTGGGTACTTTCAATTAGGAGGGGGCTGTCCCAAACCAATTTTTTGAAAATACAATATGATAATTAACTGCAAAATTACTAGAAATGTGTACCTTGGATATTATATCATTTGCATACATAAAGAAATTGTGATTTTTTTTGTTTTTCCAAGACATTCCCAACTCTCATTTCTGTAGAATAGCTCATATAGCAAGTCATATGGACTAGTTTATGGTGTTTTTTAGAGCTTGTCAAACATTTCAGCAAAAACATGCAGGAATAATATGAGCATGACAGCAGCCTTTCTGTTGTGTGTACTGTACCTTTAAGTCATTGTGAATGGCGTGTCCCACTAAAATTCTTCCTTCCAGAATCTGAGCCACTTCCTCCTGAACTGTCTTGATGTCCTCACCTGTCAATTAGCATAAAGAACAATCAAAACACAAATAATCTATAATATATTGAAGCCTAATTTTGTGGAGGAAATGCCTGTCTGTATCCCAAAATAGCACAAAATGACTTATTACATTCATAAAATGCATTAAATAGCTGATTCATGATTTATTATTAATTTAATATTGAATGCCTAATTCAGAAATCTACAAGTGACCAGCCTAATTTGATGGATTAAAGGGTCTGTCTGGATCACAAAATGTTTTTAGTTCATGAAACATTAAGAATTTATAACGTAAATTCAGAATTCTGAGGGGAAGAAATATAAACCTGGAATAATGCGCAACACACTCAGAATTATGTGATTTTAACTTGCAATGCTGAGAAAATGATTTGTGATATAAATTCAGAATTCTGAGATTTTTACATAAAACGTTTAGAAATAAACTCTGAATTGCGAGAAATACCACAAACTTCCGAATTAAACCACAAACTTCAGAAAAGTCAGAAATTATTGTGAGATTAACACAAAATTGCAATATATAAATTCAGAGTTGAGAGAGTCAGAACTGTTACAAACAGAACTGTCACAATTCTGAGAAAAAAAAAGAAAAATTGTGAGATTTTATAACAAAATTGTGAGATTTAAGTTCAAAATGACAAGAAACACCACCAGAACTGCGTTACACTCTTGCAATTGAGAAAAGTCAAAATTGTGAAATGTTAGCTCAAAAGTGCGATATATAAATTCAGAATTGAGAAATACAGTCAGAACTGTTACAAACTCGCAATTCTGAGAAAGTCACAATTGAATGTTACCTCAAAATTTGGAGAATTACTTTTTCGTTTCTTAATCCATTCTTATCCCATACAAACAGCTATTTAACCAAACGGATAGTATTTTTCAAATGCAATAGAGAAAATCCATGCAGTTATTTCTATTAGGAGGGGTCCTGACCGTTTTCAATGTCCGCCCGTCTGATACCGCTAACGGCCGTCCGGTAGTCCGTAACCTTTTCCGTGGGTTTGACGTATTTATCATAGATGCACTTCCCAAAGTGGTTGACGATCGAGACGCGTGCTAGAATGCTGTCCTCCCCGTCACATCCGACCCCCACCATCTCACAGTCCATAGCCACAGCGCGAGTCAACCTGAAACACAACAACAGCGGTTAGTTTACATTATTTCCCGCCGCCAGGAATCACACTGACAGCGGCAGGCGTTCACTCACCCCTCAAACGCATGCTCTTTCACCAGCGATTCCTCCGTGGTTTTTGCATTGCACTTCAGAATCCCGTTCCGCTTTCGTACGATGTCTGCGGCCTCGACCCCCACGGCGGACTCGATGTCGTCAGGGTCCACGTCATCAAACCAGATATCAGACCTGAGAGGACACAGAGTGATAAAAGAGGACCGTCACTTGAAATGAAACAGCATTAAACCCTTTTTCTGCATAGACATGAAAATACACTGAACTTAAAATGGTTGTAACTCTTTGGTTTTCTGTGAATACAGAAAAAAAATAAAAAATTAGAGTCGAAATTGTTTTGTAAAATAGATGTTTTGTGTTTAGTACAGCACATTTGCTAAACCTCTATGCTTTCAAAATGTCATCTAAAAAAAAAAAAAAAAGACCAACCATAAAGGGTTAGTTCACCCAAAAATGAAAATGATCACATAATTTATACACCATCAAGCCATCCTAAATGTGTATGACTTTCTTCTTTCAGACAAATACAATCAGAGTTATATTAAAATTATCCTGGCTTATCAAAGTTTTATAAGGGGAGTGAATGGTACCAGTCAAAAAAGTGCATCCATCCATTATAAAAGTAATCCATACGGCATTCTGAAGCAATGTGATATGTTTTTGTAAGAAAAATATCTATATTTATAACTTTATAAACTATAATCACTGGATTCGGACCGAAGGGTAACCAGACCACTGACCCGACTTATCAAAAACGCTCAGGCTCTATTCACTCCCATTATAAAGTTAGGAAGAGCCAGGATATTTTTAATATTACTCTGTGTTTGGCACAAAGAGGAAAGTCATATACACCAATGATGGCTCCAGGGTGAGTACATATGGGATCATTTTCATTTTTGTGTGAACTAACCCTTTAAGGTTGGTCTTTTTTTAAGAAGACATTTTAAAAGCATAGAAGTTAATCAAATAAACTGTACTAAACATCTATATTTTATACAAATTATATATTTCACAAACAATTTGGACTCTAAATTTGTTATAAAAATCAAAGCCACACGTCTAACAAAGTTGTGTTCCAATATTAAATTTGATATCACAAAAAGATTGATAGCCTGGTTAAAACCAGACCATTCTCAGTTGAAACTGAGTTAGGGTCTGGCAAAGCGTCATAGACAAATCAAAATTTGCCAGAAGTTTTATAAGTGTTTTCACAGGATGAAGTTTGAGTGTTTAAGCTTTCAAATGAAACCTAATTCATGATGATTGCTAAAATATGTGATAAGGGAAAAGGCAATAGAAAAAAGCTAGCCATACTCTGCGGTAGGTTTCTTTTCAACCTCCTCGACTTTCTTCTTTTTGCTCAATGGTTTCTCTTTTTCATCCTTTGTTTTCCTCTTCTCTGCTTTAAATTGTTTGTGTCCAGCAGAGTATTTTCCATTCTGTTGATCTCCATCTTTCTCTGCTCTTCCAGAACTCTCAGAAGTCGGTTTGACAGTCTGTGGGGGTTTTTTGAAGAGTTTATCTGGTTTACGAGAGTCTTTGGAAACTGACTGCGTCTTCTGAAGCTGATTTCCTTTAAAACTTGCATCTTTCGTCTGTTTTGTGCCCTCATCCTTCTTTGCAGGATTTGGAGTGAGAGTCTACACACACAACAGTAGTAAAAACAGACATAAGATGCATTTCTCACTCAGAATTGCTAGAACATATTGTCATACAGGTATTCAATGTAATTTTACCATGGTAAAAATAATTATTCTTACCTGCAGTAAGCTCTTCCAGTTGCAGGAATATTCTTGAACTTCTGTTGGGGGCATAATGTTTCGCTTCACAGTTTTTGGTTTTGTTTTTTCCTTATTTACAGCAGATTTCGTGTGGTAGAAGAACGTCTTTTTCTTGTCAGGTTTCTTTTTCTTCTTAGCATGCTCTGCTTGACCATTAGTCTGAACACTAGCAGCATGTTTATTCGGCTTAGCTTTAGACATTGTTAGGTTTTATCTAGGTAACCTGAGTGATAAAACACCAGGGTGTCGTTCAGCTTTACTGTTATTATAATGAGCACGTACTGGCTCTAATAAATACAACTAACGTTATCTGTTCACATGTTATTTTGTCGCTTTCTATAATCAACGCAGATATACGACATGCATGTTAGCGCGGACAATAGTAAACGTATATGGAAAATATATATAAATCTTTAAGAATATATTAACTTAAAAGCGTTAAACGCAAATATGACTGTAGAGCGATCCACAACTATAAATTACCATGAGACAACCATGCTGAAGGAACTTTCTGTCGTCTGTGTTACGACAATACGACCCGTGTAGAAACTGTATGTGATGAACGTTCCGCACTGTATTTCATTGCATGATTTCTGGTCTAGGGGGTTCAAAAGTTCAGGGGAAAACAACGTAAAATTGCAAACATAAATAAATAATAAGATTGTAATAAAATAATATTGAACTAAATAAATGCATAAATAATTTGATAAAATTATTACAATAATAAATATAGCCTACGGCACCATATCAGTAAATCTGTCGACATATCAGCTGATATCTTCAATTTTAATGTTATCGTCATCATCCAGAAAATTTGGCCGATATATTAAAGCCGACAATAATTTATTATTTCCTTCAGTGGACACACTTCATATTTCTTGAAAAATTAGGGGGGGGGAAAATCGATATTTACAAATGAGAAGTTATCTTAAGAAATGAGCTTGATAGCATTTTATTACAAGCAGCCGCATTGAAAAATAAAACAATTACATATATTTATGACCAAAGTACAGCAAATAATAAAGGTTCAAAAAAACAAAGTTGGGAACTTGACTTTGGTGTTACACTGGAAGACCAGATATGGGGCAAAGTACTGGAACACGCTAGACGAATTACTAAATCAACAACAACAACAACAACAACAACAAAATCATATGAAATACAATACAAAATCATTAGGAAATCAATCAAGAAATTGAAAAGATTGTTTAGGATTAAAGTGCCACTGGATCCCAGAGTGTGCATCCTTGGTGTAAACAATTTTGTGTTGGAAACAAAAATAATATCCATAATGTTGTATGCTGCTCGTCTTCCCATACTTCATGTTTGATATTAATACTCCCCTACTTTATCTCTTTGGCGTGAACAACTCTTGTCACTCTTACCATACGAAAGACGGCATAATGTACTGGATGGAACTCTGGATACTTAAGTAACTTTGCAACTTCAACTTATTCTATCCCTAACCCTACCAGTCCACTAATACTCTATAGTCAACTGGATTTGTTAAAGGGACCATAAAAATAACCAAACCATTTATTTTTATTAAAGCAAACATGTTATGAATATCGTTGCTGACCTGCAGTGTAGACGTTTTTTGTGATCACATACACACACATACATACATATATATATATGAAGAGTTCAGATGCAAAAGCCTCTAAATGCCATTTGAAATTTTCTTCTTTAATGATGATTTTTATCAAACTTGTATATTTAAGTTCAGTAATTTCACTTAAATGGCAATGATGATTACCTATTAATTGTTATTTAAGTGAAATTACTGAACTTAAATATACAAGTTCGATAAAAATCAACATTAAAGATGAAAATTTCAAATGGCATTTAGAGGCTTTTGCATCTGAACTCTTCATATATACATACATACATACATACATATCAAAAAAAGAGACTATTATTAGTTCCATATTTGATGTAAAATTTTATTTTTATTTAAGAAATGTTCATTTACAGTCATCTAAATTCATCTAAAAGTGCAAAGTGTCTAAAATCAGCCACATTTCATTATTACATGATAAAAGAGCAGTAAATATTTCAAAACAACTGAAAGATTCAAATGCAAACTTCATCGAAATACTCATTAAATTCAAACCCAAACTTACATTGAAGTAGTTTTTAAAATGAGCAAAAGAAAAACAACTAAATTTACATCAGAGTAATACACTGAACAGAATACCCAGTGCTAAAATGCATTTAACCGGTCTGTTAAAAGTATACCACCATATCATTATAATTAAATGTCTATCAACTATGTTACAAAAAAAAAAAATGTACGTCAAAGTCAACAGCTTAATGAAATACTGATACGCATAAGTCCTTCACGTCTATTGTGATCTCAAAACTCTGGCCAGTTGACAATATCTAGAATATCAAAATCAACTGCTGGCGGTAGATCTTCCTATTTACCACATAAACTCTGGAACAGTCTCCCTAACATTGTTCAGGAAGCAGACACACTCTGTCAGCTTAAATCTAGACTAAAAACAAAACTCTCTTTAACCTGGCATACACATAAAACATTATACATTGCTATTATTCAAATTAGTTCAATGATTACTAGGCTGCATAGATTAGGTCATCCGGAACCGTGGACACTTCCTATAACGCCCGATGTACCCGTTACATCATAAGAAGAATGGCATCTATGCTAATGTTAGTGTTTCTGCTTATTCCAAGGTTTACAGTAATCAGCCGGATCCAGGCCATATCCAGACCAGATGGCGGACCTGCGCCTAGACATGACCACAACGCATCCCTGAAGTGTCAGCAGAAATTTTGTGTCAACTAGACTCCCCAGTGAAGACCTCATCGGCACGACAGCCATCAGCACTGATCCTCAACAAACCCGTCTCCATACCGGTGTGTCACCTTTTTCCAACTTCGTTGCCATTGGCTTGCTTAGTTGGGGACATTCAATTTAATATTCAATGATAATATTGATGTATAAAGCAAGAGAACTCCAAGGCACACTCAAGTTGAAAAGTTAAAAAGCCTTTATTATAATGGCTTGGTCAAATTAACTATATTTTATTTACCAAACTTTAAAATCCAGGAAGCGCTCCTGATATTGGTTCAGCTGTCACTCTAGCAATGTGTCGGATACAGTCTCTGGGCATAACTCCAACATAGGGTACTTTACATGAGAACTGAAAAGTTTTGAGTTTTTTGAAAAGTTATTATGCAGCCAGGCCAGCAGATGGCGATGTCACTTTGCAGAACAAGATTACATGCCTATAGACTACAGACTATAAAACACCTATAGACGAAACTGGAGTTTTTGTAGTTTACATTCAGGCGATAATGGCCAAAACGTGGTCGTAAGCTACTCCAAACATAACCAGTGTTGAGCAGCTGACGGCACAGAGATGTAAAGACAGTGGAATGATTAAGAGCTGATTTAAAGACAACATTTAACAAATTCAATTTACAATCTTAGTAACTGTCCCAAACTTTCTCCATATCCGACCTGACTTAACCATCTGCTCTGTTCATGTAACTAAACATGTGACTTAACTAACTTATCTCACCCAATATCCTATATTATTTTCCACTGACCTTTGTTTCACGTTGTTTAATAAACTCAAATATAATATATTTTTAAATGTTTGCTTTTCATCTGATAATGGCTTATGAGGAATACAATAAAATAAAAAAATATAATATATATTTAAACAAATATATTATATATTTACTTTTCATTGGATAATGGGTTTTATGGGATAAATAGAAATAAATAAATAAATAAAAATATCCTAAGTGTTTGCTTTGCATCAGATAATTTAACAGTTAAATGCTTAATGTAATTCAAAATATATTTTTAAACAATTAACTTATTTATAAATTTTTGCTTTTCATTAGATTAACTTGTCTTACATTATTTCCCTCTGAATTCTGTTTCGTGTCCCATCACAAACGTTAAATATATTGCAAAAGCGATTTCATGTTGTCTTTAACTCTAGTTCATTTTACAGCCACTGATGTACACAAACTATGACACCTATAGAATGTATTAATGTCCATTTTGTGATGAGTTCCCCATGCCCACATGGTTGAGCTGCCCGGTAGGGCGAGGGGGTCCATATTTCAAATACATGTGTGTGTGTGTGTGTTTTAGTACGCAGGTCTGTAGAGCAGTTGTCCATTGAAGAGTCTGCGCTGGATCTCTTTCCACAGCAGACTGCGTTCTCTTTGCGAACCCTTCATGAAGCCGCGGTTCTCCTGCGCTCGGCGTGACAGGTATGGGATGACCTCGTTCACGGGACCGTAGGGAACATACTTGTAAACCGGGAATCCTGCCTGACCTGTTTACAAAAACACACACCGGAAAACTTCAGCACATTTCATTCTATTTATCAGCATCAATATTAAAGGGGACATCCAGTATTATGTTTTATTACATTTTCAACATGTGTAATGCTGTAGTTTGAGAATGAAAAAGGTCTGCAAAGTTGCAAAGCACAAAGTCCCTCCAGCAGGAGTTATTCTCTATATCAATCAGTGTCATGGTTTCTGAGCTCCCTGAAACGCCTCCATTGTAGTCTTGAGTTTCTCACGTCACAATATTCCTCATTTCAATAATTCCTGCCCAATGGCATACGCAGAATAAAGGGGCGGGCCTGGTTAAATTAGTTAGTAGTGTGTAGAAGCTCACGTTTAATAGTAAGGGGCATGGACCAATTACAACACACTGATCCAGCTGACCAATCAGAGCACAGTACGCTTTTTAGAAGGAGGGGCTTCATAGAGTCAGGAACTAAACAGGAGTGTTACTGACAGACTGGGAAGAGTGGAGCTGCAACAGTGTAAATGTGTTTTTTGAACATTCAAGCGTGAAAACCTATAGACCCCTTTTGCGTCGACGTCACAGTCACGGAGTTAGCTGGAGGTAAAACAAAGTGAAAACTGGAGGCGGCCAATACAAATCAGCACAGATTCGGCTACATAATAATGAGCTTAAATTATTGTTTTTATAATGAAGTCATCTTGGTGTTATTTGGAGCAAGAATCGATGAAAAATGAATATGCTGTATCTGGAATTTTTATTTCTAGAAAATATTCACATCATTAAAATTGCACCGTAATGACACTTTACATTGTCGTCTTCTCGGCACTGGCTCGGCAGAACTGCGGATCATATCACACAATTGTTCTTGTACGGGACCATTCAGCACATAGTTATTGGCATCTAAAGATTTATATGTTTTTCCTTATGATCGGTTTCTCTATTAAGTAGGTGTAGAAGTCAGGCCCCTCATCCAAGTCAACATTAATCCCGTCAGATCGTCTATTCATTGAGTGAGTGTGTAGGCGGCTACGGGTCGGCCAATCTGGTTCAGTCCGTTAAAAATAACTTTTGAAAATAACAATCACGGTCCTGGACAGTGAGTGACCTTACACATTAAGATAAAATCGGATTTTCTCCAGTCAGTGTTAAAAAACAAGCGAACAAAACTTGCTAACTAGCGTTAGAGAAGCAGCCAGAAGAATCGTTCTGCCTCCACCTAAGCTCCGTCCACATAAAAACATCACCATGTTTACCAACTGAAAAGGGGTCTATTCTTGAAGAGCCCAAAAACTAAATCTAATATTAAAGAGAACCTGTTATGCTCTTTTGCAAAGTCTTGATGTTAACATCTGTTCCTTCCCACACTGCTCTCTTTCCACTCACCCAACGGGAAGCTGATCTGGTCGCACATTCCCAGCAGCTGTCCAAAGTAAACCTTATTCTCAGTGGGAGAGAGACTCATCTCGTTCATCCTGTACAGAAAAACACAAACGACACCCAGCAATAGCATTAGCATTAGCACAGATACTGAGCTGAATGTATTTTATGCATCTCTTCTTGGCTCTAGACTCACTTCTCCAGTGTGAATTTGACCGTGTCCTCATTGTGAGACGCCACCATGACGTTGGCCATCCTGTTGAGATTAATCTCCTCCAGAATGAACTCCAGACACCTTACAGAGAGAGATAATGGTTAATAAAAAGCTTCTGGGGCTCGATCATTGACAGTGACAGAAGAATAAAAGAAATGAATCCTGAAATATTTGATTCTGTTTGTAGCAACAAGTCAAAACATCCCTGTCTCAATGTGCGTGCGAATATTGTGTTGAATATAGTGTTATGATGACACACATGTACAGTGACATTAATGGGCAAACAAGTTTTGAATAGACTATTATAATTGGCGTTAAATCAATAGACTATTCATTTGAGATGAGACGCAAAACTAAATTAAATGGTACATTCTGTTTTCAATAAACATTTCAACAATATATTTTTGCTTTTGATGTGGAATAAAATGCATACATTTAAACCAATAAAATATTGTTTAATTGTTTGCTTTTCTTAAGATAATGGGTTATTTGGAATCAAATAAAATTAATTAAAATATTCTAAAATATATTCATTGTTTAAAAATACATATAATCTTTTTGTTTATTTTATTCCACAAACCATTATCCAATGAAAAGAAAATATATTACCTTTTTTAAATATATATTTGATTGTCATTAGATAATAGGTTATGTGGAATAAAATTCATGTATAATTAAATGATTGTTTTGGATCACATAATGAGATATGTGGAATAAAAGTACTTAATTGTTTGAGTACTTAAGTCCTTTTCACCACATGGTTTAAATAGATGCACATTTCTTTACAGTGTTTATCAGTATTTCATTATTGTACTATACACTATACTGTATTACCATGTTCTAGGTTATATAACTATATTGCTCTAATAAAGCTAAACATTTCTACAAGTTAACAAAAATCCACAGCAATCAAAGTATGAAAATATTGCTTATAAATTATATGGTGGGTGCGATTATCCATTTAAAATATGTGTTTTAACGGCAAGGCACTTACTTGTGGTACATCCTGTTGGTGGCCTCATAGTCGGGGTTGATGGGGTCTTCGTAGCCAATCTCTGCCGCCCGAGTCCTCTCCTGATACATGTACGCTCCTCTGACCAGCTTAGCGCCGAAGTACCAGCCCTCCCGACGCGACAGCTCCACATCCACAGATACGTTATCATATGCTTCCTACAAGCGCAGGTGCCATTTTATTGACTCAGTCATGGGGTTTATCACACACGTAAACAGAATTATTGCAATAAAACCATTAGGAAGTTGTAATTAAGGTCTTCTGACAGTCATTTACCACTATAATACTATATCATGCTGACTCATTCTGTGGCTGCGGGACTTTGAGATGTACAAACTATTGAAGATAAAGTAACATAAAAGCCTAAATCACGAATTATAAAAGACAAAAGAAAAAGAAATATTCCAGAGCTTTCCGAGAGCCTACTCTGCTCTGATGGTCAGACAGCCCAAGTCTGTTGTGATTGATCTACTCTGCTCTTTGCTTTATATTTTTGGGTTAACCTTATTTGAATTTCTAGCATTGCTAATCTGACATTTTGCAGCCTCCTCAGAACACTAAAATGCAGTCAATGAAAACCAAAATGAAAACCTGGTGTACAGCATTCAAAGGAAAACATATCTATGTTTTTCTTCTCAGCAACACAATTTGGCTGCAGTGCAACATACTTGGGTGTGAGTAACTATAATATGATAATCCTTTAATTGTCCACAGTTTGGCACAATAAATGAGAAGTCTGGGTGTGGCAGAGATCAGCAGCAGATTTTGAAGGTGCAGACGTGTGCGTGTGTTTGTGTGTAGGTGGCTGCATATATGAAGAAGAAAAGAAACACACCAAACTCTAAGAAACCCTAACAAAAGATTTCTCAGTTGTTTTTTGTAGCAATAGGTGTCCTAAATAACATACTAAAAGTTTACCTAAGTTTGACCACTAGAAAGGTGTAATTCTCAATGGCATGGATGGCATCCAAGATGGACAGGAAGCCCTTAAAATATCCTACCTCCTTCATTATTTGACCTAGCTAGGAAATCCCATATTTCTTGGCTCTATAAATCCATTGGACTGACATGATCACATACTTATGGAATGCATGATTTTGTGAGATTACTGTAAGGTTTTATCTGTTTGGGGTGAACCAAAGATGTAAACGATTTAACCCATGTCATGTAACTCCTAAACCTTTTTTTACTAAAACATAGACTTGACATTCAATGTAAGAGTTATTGCACCTAAAAGTAACTTAAATTTGATCATAAACAACTCTGAATCAGCCCGAACAGAGGCCTGTGTGTGAACCCTCTAAAACGGTCCCTCATTTCAATTGGAATAAGGTAATACATATATAATGCATCCTCTATAGATGTTTGTGAGTATAAAGGTGGCATCATACTAAACAAAACTAAACTAAATTCACAATTTTCAGAAATTCAGGAGATGGTGGAAGAGAATACTGACATTTGATATTGCTAGCCTCATTGAGATGCCAAAACATGCATCAGGCACCAGTATTCCTGGTCTAGGAGGAATACAAGTAATGGTCATTTTAAAGACCTGATGGTGGCCGAAATTTTGAAAATGGGGCCTTTTTGGAATCAAACTTTGGTAAACTTTTAGTAAGTACATCTGATAATACTGTAAACCACTGAGACAGTTTTTGTTTGGGGCCAAGCCATATTTGCAACTGGCTAGTGTTTCAGCGACTCACTTTAAGGTAGCACTGGTAGGTGTTGAAGATGTTGGGTTTTTCTCTGTTGAAGATCCTTTGCATCTCCAGGGTCAGTCTGCTAATGGCCGGCTGGAAATACGTCTGTTCTGCGTCCACCATCAGCCTCACGCCGTTCTCCACAGCGTGCTGGAACAAACACAGAACACACACACATTCAGTTATAAAATGCCTTTCAGCTGTAACAGCGCACTTCAGTAAACACAGTTACATAACCACCACGCCTGCAGGACACCTTTATTTCCAGCACAATACTGCCGCCGTCGTGGTCAACAACACACTGGGAACAAACTAAACACGCTGACTGAAAACAGCTGAATAAGCAAGAAGAAGAAAAAAATAACTTTTTAAGTCAGAAAAAAAAATGCACACAAGAACAAATAATACAACTATATTATCAAGAACACATTGTGTACATTATAAAATGTAAAACAAACTTAACATTTATTTGCATTATTAGATTTTTAAAATATAATTTAACAATAAAATAAATGTACATGTAATATTACATTTGTTACAGTATTTTACACAGTACAATATTTGTATACACAATATATATATATATATATATATATATATATTTACACATTTTGTGTGTGTGTGTGTGTGTGTGTGTATATATACTGTATATATTTACAAATTTTGTGTGTGTGTGTGTGTGTATATATATATATATATATACACACACATATATACTGTATATATTTACATTTTGTGTGTGTGTGTGTATATACTGTATATTTACACATTTTTTTTGTGTGTGTGTGTATATATATATATATATATACGGTATATATTTACACATTTTTTGTGTGTATATATACTGTATATATTTACATATTATATTTATATTATATTTTGTGTGTGTGTGTATATATATATATATATATATATATATACACACACATACATACAGTATATACACAAGTACACACAAAACATTTTACAATTTGTATTTATTTAAATTTTTATTTAATTTTTTTTTTTGGCCAATTAAAACCATAATAATCTCAACTGAAAGTACTCATATAAATGTGGTCTATTCATTGAATTGTTTCAGTTTAGGAATTTACAAGCTGAAATGCTGTAGATAAATGACTCCAGCAGCATTTGCGACGATAAAAACGTTTTCATCTTTCTCACAAATCTTTTATTTAACAGCCTCCGCGTCAGTCCTTATAGAGATTAAGATTGGAACATTTTGTATTTGTTTTTTTCGAACTCTTTCTTGAGTTTGACATTGTATTTTTAAAAACATTTCACTATAATGCTATATCTGCTTATCTCACAGAAGATAAGAGTCTTGTGACAATGAGGGCTGTAAAGAACACGTTCCTAAAGTCTCCTAAGCAATAAGAAGTTAAGGCAAGTCATTGAGAAGGTTTTGTCTGTTTTATCGTCCACCTGACTTCATTCTTGTGTTGTTTAACATGTACGGTCAAGGTTAACCGAGTGATACTTCTCCACCAGAATCTTTTGTACTTATATTTATCAAAGTCTACTTGATCAAAAACAGATGCACGAACACAAACCAGAGGGAAAATGTGACGCTTGTGCATCAGAGTAAGAAATATGTTTGGTTAATGTCTGATTAGGATTAGGGTCAAGTCACTCTGAGTAATGTCAAACATCAAATGCACACAGACCCAGTGTAAAAACCAAGCGCTACTGCCTGATTTCTGTCGTAACGTTTTTGTAAACTTTAGATGTGCCAATCACCATCAAACAGTCCATGAAATCTAAGATCATTTACCCAAACAGCATCTACAGTGTAACTTAGTGAAGTTCTGGTGATAATACCTTGGCTAGGACGTCCATTCTCTGTAGCATCCTCTTCATCTGTTTCTCCTCTTCATCAGTGAATTTGCTCAACAGAGGCTCCAGGTGACCACTCTTTGGAAATACACAGATTTCGTATGAGCGGAGTAGTGTTTGTGTGCTTTGACACATTTTTTTGTTTGTGTGCGTGTGTGTGTTACCTCCATGTTAGGAACCACAAGCAGGTTAGAGATTTTGGTTCGGTCATTGATGAGACTGTTCCAGTCCAACAGATCAATGGTTCTACAAGAACAAAAAAGAAACATGGTCAAACACACAAGCACACACACTTGTGTGTAGTTTAGGGACCGGGGAAATCAGTTTAAGTGACAGATGAAGAATTTTACCCTGATGAACCCAATTTCTCTCCAGTAAACCAGTTTTCAACGTCTGATTTAGCACCTACTCCCAGTTTGATCAAACTGTCCTGCAGATAAACACAATAATAAAAAAGACAAAGACAGATAAATGTAAATGTGTATATTTTAAAATAAATATACAGTTTAAAAGTTTGAGGTAAAAAAAAATTCAACTTGCGAAAAGCTACGGACGGTTCCTATCCGACAATGTAAATACATGTTCCCATGTAAGCTTATTTCTAATAAGCATAAAATACATCTCTTTAGCTGGTTAACTTTTGCTGCCAGGATAAACTTACTTATGTCATGGATCAGCGATAAATCCCCCTCTATGAAGGAATGGCATTCAATCATTAGAGAAACTATCCCTCTGGAACTTTTATTCACACTTGGACACCATATTAGGACAGCATTAATGCCTCTATTAGTGATATTCTAAGTTTTGGTATGGTATAGTAGTTGTGTCTGGCTACTTGTGTAGTTTTGTTTTGTGTTTGTTAAACAAAAAGCAAAAAAAAAAAAATTAAAATAGTCACAGTATAATAGCATTGCAATGTTGTCTTTAAATTTGCAAAAGCAAACAAATTATTGACCACACTAAATTAGTTTAACATTCCAAAAGCCTGTCAATAATCTACTTTTCATTCGCATTATAAACTGCACAGTTATAAACTATTATAGACTTAGAGTGCAAAACCCAAACCTGCAGTTGCTGAAGTTCTAGCTTCTGCTCGAGTATTGCCATGCCGTCTTTCCCCTGATGGGAGGCCAACAGGTTGAAGAACCTCCTCCACTTCACCAGCACTTCAGAGAACTGAAGCTTTAAGACAGAACCAATCAAGATCAATCACACAGATATCAGCTTATTTGTAAGAAATTTGAAAGAGTTAAAAAAAAAGAGAATTACCAGGAACTGCGGCCGGCCCAGTGCGGTCATCTTAATGGCCGAGAATCCATCGACAGAGCTTCCAGCTAAAATACACAGACATCAACACAAATACCTCAATGAACAGTCTGATATCAAAGTGCCCCATTGTACTATTTTAAAGATTCCTAATTTTGGCTCCTACAAAAGGTTAACATGCATCTAAGGTAAAAAAATAAATAAATAAAAATACACTTTAATTTTCATATTTTTCACAGTGTCTGAAACAGTTGGATAAAGGATTCAGTCTTCCTGAGAGCCTACTCTGCCCTGATTAGTCAGACGACCCAGTCTGTTGTGATTGGTCAACTCTGCCCTGATTGGTCAGATGGTCCAGTACTCTGCTCTGATTGGTCAGATCACCCAGTGTGTTGTGATTGGTCTACTCTGCTCTGATTGGTCAGATGGTCCAGTCTGTTGTGATTGGTCTACTCTGCTCTAATTGGTCACATGGTCCAGTCTGTTATGATTGGTCAGATGGCTCAGTCTGTTGTGATTGGTCTACTCTGTTCTGATTGGTCAGATGGTCCAGTCTGTTGTGATTGGTCTACTCTATTCTGATTGGTCACATGGTCCAGTCTGTTGTGATTGGTCTACTCTGCTCTGATTGGTCACATGGTCCAGTCTGTTGTGATTGGTCTACTCTGCTCTGATTGGTCAGATCACCCAGTCAGTTGTGATCGGTCAACTCTGCCCTGATTGGTCAGATGGTCCAGTACTCTACTCTGATTGATCAGATCACCCAGTCGGTTCTGATTGGTCTAATCTGCCCTGATTGGTCAGATGGTCCAGTACTCTTCCCTGATTGGTCAGATGACCCAGTCTGTTATGATTGGGCTACTCTGCTCTGATTAGTCACATGACCCAGTAGGTTGATTGGTCTACCACTTACAGTGCAGTGTGTCTCTGAAAAGAAATGGTTATTACCATTATAATTTATCTGGATAATCTGCTTAATCTGGATTTCAGCGTCAAATTTACTGTATGAATTCAAGCCTTTGTCCTTTTACGAAGTGTATTTGCTCTGGCAGTGCAGAACACACAACATCTTTTCAACATGTCGACAAGACAAACCTAACTCTTTCAGGCTTCATCAGCAACAACTACAATGGTTTAAGAGTCAAAGTAAACTGGAATTATGCAGATTTGTTACAGGAAGTAAGACTGGAATTACTGACAATTCGCTTTAGGTCACTCAGAAACTTTGCAGACCTTTTATATTTATTTACAAACAGCTAAATTACACACAACATGAAAGATCATATCCAAAATTCAGAATACCGGAAAGCAAAATAGGGGCACAGAAGACAAAGTAATATTCCTCTCACCAGAAGCTTTAATGCAGTTGATGAATGTCTCCATGTGATGGTCACACTTGGCTTCATCTGCGTAGAAATACGTACGAGCGCTGATCACTCCTCCACGCCGATCTCCAAACTGCCGATGGGCTTTGTACTTTTTCTCACGATGATCCATACCTGAATATGGATTTCAAAAATCAGTCAATTTTTGAGATGCTGGTTTGAAAACATCCCTTTTTAAACCATAACTTTGCCTAAGTGCTGCATTATGTTGCAAAAAGCTGTCAGAAAATCATTATGATGCTGAAAAGTTTCCTCACAGAATGCGCACAATGAAAATTACTTTTTCATTTTTTGTGTACATAATTTAAACATATAATAGAAACAGTTTTGATGTTGTGTTGAAATTACTAGGAATGTCATAAACATTAAAATAAATATTATTCATTAATGCTGGACAGCTTTATGCAGCATGATGGCTGTGGCCAAAACCTTGCATTGAATAATGTTTTTTAATACCTTACAGAGGAAAGGTTTTCATCTGAGATACCGAATACCCCACAGACTTAAAAAACATGAGCTTGCAAAGATAATTTCAGCCCCTTCACCAGGAGAGCCCACAGTTAAACCAGCTTTAACCAGTCTAAACGAGTCAAACAGCTAGAGCCCATAACACATACAGCAGTCTATTTCTAACACCGCATGATCCCTGAGGCGAAGTGTTGATCGCCTGTCACACTGTTAACGTTTCGTAAAAACCTAGCCAGATGAAACCCAACAAACTGCCAACACCCTTCCAGCATCAACACTAAAGCCCTGAAACAAAATGGAAATCACTGTACACTCATGGTCCTCCTGAGGCAAGCTTGCACAGCTGTTCACTGAAAATACAACAAAACAATTGGTTACTAAATCTGCAATAAGCCTTTGTTTTTGAAGTGTACTAGAATATGTTTTCATGCTTGATAGTTCAAAAAGCACTTTATTTTTCACATATTTTACATTATTACAGCACCTCTTTCCCCAATCTGGCTCAAACACGCCAATTTCAATGAAGCCCCTCCTTCCAAAATAAGAAAAATGTGCTGTGATTGGTTAGCTGGCCCAGTGTGTCGTGATTGGCCTCGGGAAATGTCCCGCCCCTCCATAACTGCGAGTTCTTCTCTAGTGTGTATATGAATATTAAGGATGGCGTCAATTTCAAACCAATTCGAGCCTGATTCAGACCCTGACAATGTTACCGAACAAGAGGACAGTGCAGAACGGATTTCATGCACAGGCTTTGCAAGCACGAATTTCACAGGACGTTAAAAACAAAGTGGTGTGTTTTTTGTAATTTTGGCTTACCGTCCATATAAACATTGGGGTTATAATTTCAGAAACAGTGTTTAAAGTAACTTTAACCACTTTAAGTTCGTAAGGGTCAAACAAATGAGTTTTGGAAATGTTGTGGAAAAGACATAGCGACAGAACTTTCCTCTCTAATGCAGCTCATCCAGGTCTCGTCCCCATTTTTTGCTTATTCCGTAGGCGGAGATTATTCATACGAGTACCATTGTGACTTCATAAGAAGTGTTGTAGTCCAAACGAGCCATTCGTTGTAGTTCTTGAAAAGTGGATTATTTTAAATAAACTGCCAGATCTTTTTAATGCTCAAACAGCATCATTACACACTAACTAAAGTTGAAAAAAGTGGAAAAGTAAAAATTAGTGCCGTCAAACGATTAAAATATTTAATTGCGATTAATCGCATTAATGTCATAGTTAATTCGCGATTAATCACATATTTTTATCTATTCTAAATGTCTCTTGATTTCTTTTTGTCCCGTTATTTTTTCTCATTTTAATGCTCTAATCAACATGGAAAAGTGGATCAGCTTGATTTGTGCAAATGTTTTTAATTGAAAACAACATTGCCATATCCACAAGTTTTCTACGCCCCATGAGGCCTTGCATCAAAAGTTGGCGCGACTTCCGGTTGGAAGTAAACAAAGCGCGATTTGACATGCTTGACACTCGTTCATTCAACAGTTGACAGTCATTCAAGTTATAGCGATCCAAACTAGCTAACGATGTGGGAACACAACCTCAACGAAATTAAAAAGGGTGAAATAACAGCGCCTTTACCCTCCGCAGTAGTTGATTGGGAGTATTATAATAACATTATTAATTATCAATACTCATCAAGGCATGGTGATAGACAGATGTGCGAGCTGACAAACAATTCAAATAAAAAAATACACACTTAGTCATTGTGCTTTGGAGTTTATTCAAAATTATAAATGAATGTGCTACTTGAATACATTAACTGGCACATTTGGTATTCTGTCAACACAGGCTTTGATCCTGAGTTTAGGTGTAACATCAGTTTATAAAATATAAAGAATTAAAAAAAAAAATGTACACAGGAAGATTCGTCGTCTTTTGGGAGGTGATGGAAACTAACGTTATAGTCGTTGGCAGGATCAGAGACGGGCTCTGGAAGGATCACTCGTTTTCAGCTTATGTTCAAAACAATCACGTTTAAGCCACTGAATTAGTTTAGTCCGGTTATACATACAACCGCGAACAGCACATATTGTCCCTGAGCTCCGTAACGACATCTCTCATAAAGATTTGCGTCTTTAAATAGTAAAATAATTCTCCGAAAAACAGCTAGCATCTTCGCTAACTAACACACAAAATACCATTGGAATGCTACTTCCGCCGCGTCACCGGAAGTTTCACCCACTTTATTTTTTATAGGAGAGCCCCTCGGAAATATGTGGATGTTGTGTTCAAATTCACAATAAAAAATTCTTACTTGGAGCAAATAATCTCTCACACAATGTAACACTGTCCATCAATAAAATGGTGAAAGAAATACTGACGAGGTCCTGATATTCACGAGGGGGCGGAGAATTCGCATCATCTGTGTGTGTGTGTGTGTGTGTGTGTGTGTGTGCTTGGCCATCATCAAGCGGTATTTCAGACTAGACGTGCTGCGATGATGATAGCTCAGTTCACAACGACAAAACACACAGATACTTTGATCTTGTCAATGGAACCATTTTGCAACTTTTTAAAAGTAAACTTTCCATTCAGAATCTTATTGGCATCCATTTCGGCGTCTCGCGCTCGTCATCCACTCAAAACGTAACATTAACCAACTATTTGGCCGACTCGCAAGCCCAACGAGTGTGTGTGGCGTGCCTGTTGTTTTGTTTCGACGAAGCAACAAAACGTCCTCCCGCAGCGCAAGCCATTGAAATGAATGGGTTTCATAGCGCAGTGCCGCGCATGCGTGTCCTGTTGCAAAAGCATGTGAAAGAAAACTACACAGTTTTCTAGGCCAAAAAGACCGTTAATCGCGCGATAAAAAAATTGACGCCGTTAAAATGGGTTTGCGTTTTTTACCCATTTTTGCGTTTAACTGACAGTCCTAGTAAAAATTAAATAAAATTAAAAAAGACAAAGTAAAATAAAACAACAGCACAACACTAAATAAAAACAAGATGAAATGAAAAAACAAGACAAAATAAAAAACAATATACAGTATAATCCTATTAGGATGCTTAAACGGTTTTATTATATTTACCTGAACCGACTCAGTTATGGAATTTTACATTTATCATCATGATAGCATATGCCAGGTTTATTTAAAAATAGAGCAAAAAACAATTTATATTTTTATGTTCTCATTTAGTTCAAATATTTGAAATGCAGTCAATTTATTGTACTTACCATGACTCTCTTTCTCAGCCTCAGAAACACAGGAACTGAAAAACAATGCAAAAAACATGTGTAAGTGCAAAGTTGTGTTTCATGAACGTTAGTTGAGGTTTCTGCAAAAAGGTCACCTTTGTTTAAGCCAGGACATTAAACATTCAAACTCCAGTCAGCTCTATTGGAAGAGGTGATAAATTCACTTTATTTATGGAGTGGGACCATTAAATTTCACAGAAAACTCTGGCAGTGACACAAACGCCTTATTCACAAACGCTGGTCCACTTCACATTTCAGTCACATGCTTCATACTCTTTGCAACACAAGTCTCGGTCAACACAGAGTTAAATCAATAAAGAATCCATTTCAGATATATTTAGAAATTTTAAAACAACAATTTAGCTCTCAGGCTGTGAGGGAAATTAAAACAATCCAACGCAAATTGGCAAAATGCAAATAACTGAAACTGGCATCTCTAATGTGAAAGCTCAGTTGAGGCATGTGAATGAGAAATATGACAGGTATTCGACCTGACCTTCTGTACAAACAGGACAACTGCAACATGTGCTCAGATAAACGCTGCTACTAATGCACACTGATTCTACTGATTATTTTAATGCTGGAAATACTGCTTGGAAAGAAATGGAGATGGTGTATTTTTAATACAAAGGCAAATTTTTCAAGCAGGTGTAATATTGTCGTTAACTAAAATATTAAAATCTGTTAATTAAAATAAAGCTGAAATGTTGCCCTGGCAAATAAAAAACTAAATCAGGAATAAAAAAAAAAGAAATTCAACCTAAATAGGAAAATAAATAAATAAATAAATTAAAAAATTAAAAAAAAATCAAGCAAACAATGAACATTAAAAACAAAAATATAATAAAACTGAAATAAAAACCTATATTAAGGTTATTATTAACTAAAATTTACATTTTAGTAACATTTTCTAATGTTCTAATTTACATTTTAGAACATTTTCATTACTTTAAATAAATTAAATGTCATCTGAAATAAAATAGAATATAAACAAACTAAATGACAAGGAAACATTTCTCGTCTACATTTAGTTTAATTTACTTGAACTAGAAAATTTTACAGAAATAAAATATTGTTAAATAAAATTTTAGACACATATTTACATAGCAGCAGAATATATGAAAATAATATAATATATTAAATATATATATATATATATTTTTTGTATATATATATAAATATTAATATATATATATATATATATATATATATATATACACACACATACATATACATACATATATATATATATACACACACACACAAACACATCAAATAAAATCTCATGATGGTCATGTCAAATACCATTTCAATAAATCACATGATTTATGGAATCATTCATGTCTGAAATGCAGTAAAGCATACTCGTAACTCAAGCATGAGTAAGCATGCTTTGCGATACTTCAGGTAAATCCTATTCACATGTTAGTCACATGAACAATAGGCGCTCAGTGCTCCTAAAAATCAGTTTTAAAACATTTCAGCATGAGTTTCATGTTAAGCTGATTCCTGAAAGCTTTTGTATCTGTTCTGAACTTTTTGTGTGCACTCATGCTAAATGAATTAAACCGGTTTCGTCTTACCCAAAACATCTTACATAACCTATGCAGTGTGTGTGTGTGTGGTTGTTAGTCTTTTTTTCACCGAACGAAATCTGAGCACTTTCCCAGGGACTGGGCTAAAACAAGCCTCCCTTTTGTGTTACTATAAGCCTTAACTGAGTTAAATAAATATATAATGAAGTCCTGCATAAAGCATTAACCAAAAGTGATATATCAAAAGTGATTTTTACTCTATGTGCACCACAGTTTTAAATGTCAAATGATCGTGACTCTAAGTTTCTCAATGTGCTGGCCTGGGTTTCCTTGCTCAAACTCATGTGACTGCATTCCACAAGAGGAGGAGGAAAAACACCTCCCTTTATCAGCCAATCAGGCGGTGGGCCCTGGCTATTACTGACCAATGGGGAACAGTGTAATCAGAGACCATTACTGCAGTCAGAAGGGTGGCATGGTGTCAAAACAGTCTCATGTGATGCCTGTACATGATTACACAACTTATATTCAATAAACTGCTGATTTTTTGATCACTCCATCTGCTGTTTTCTGCTCTTGTCAAACTCTCCAGCTGACAGAAGACTGTTAAAGCAGTTTTGGGTATAAGGCTTTACTGGTTTTGGACCAAGATAGATGGATATCTTCTGACATGATCTGGCATCCGGGTTTCAATCAGATATTTCTGATGTGGACTTAAGAGACTCGATCTGATCAAACAGTAGGATAAAGGAAAGGGAAATTAACTCTTGTGTTGATACTCACTCCATCTCCTTCTTCTCAGCCTCTTCTTGGGTCAGGTCCTCCTCTACGCTGTAGTCCAGAACCGAGCCCACGCCAAACGCCTGGTTCTTCTTAATCAGAGGTTTAATGGAGTTCTGGTCCTCACCCGCAACGAACTGACCGTAGAAGGTCATTTTCATTAGTTTCTCGAAGACCCGCTGGCCAAAAACCTTTTTACTGAGGTCCATCAGCTGCGGATTGGAAAAAGTGAGGAATTTAATAAATAAATAAGTCAAGTAGCCTACAGTAGTTTCTAATATAATTAAATAAAAGTGAGAAACATTATTAAAAAATACATACTTATTAAATATTAATGTTATACACACACACACGTATATGTAAAATAAATCATTTTGAAGTGTTTTGAATTGTTTGAAATATGATTGGAAAGGAAAATAGTACATTTGAGAGCAACATGTGCAGCGCAACTCTGTCAAATAGGCTAACTTTACATACAATTATTTTGAGAATATCATTATAATTTTCATAATAAAGTATATTATATTATATTATTTCACTATAAAGTATATTATATTCATTATAATTTTCACTATCATTATAAACCATTCACTGCACCTATTTGTTTTATTTTTTTTTTTTAAATCAAAAGTAAAATCAGTAAGTTAACGATTTTACTGATTTTACAGAAGTAACTCGCCTCTTTATTTTTGTCGACCAGGAAGTCAAAGGTGCAGAGTTTGAACACCAGCAGGCTTCTGAGCAGCTCCAGTGTGTCTTTGCTCTTATAGGCTTCTTGTGTGTTGTCGAAGTCCACGAAGATCTTCTGGCTGTCCGCGTGCGCTTTCCCGCTGATGAGGTCCACATCGCAGGGCTTCTCCACGACAGTACAGCTCGGGTCCAGCCTGTCTTCCGTCTTCAGCTCTTTGTGCTGCGTGGATGCTACCGTGGACCGAAGCCTCGAGCCCAACAACTGACCCGGCTTTACTCTGCCCAATGCGGGGATAACTTTACAGTAAGACATGCTTGATGAAAGTAGATATGGTCGTGGGAATATTGCAGTGGTCCTCCTTGTACCGATGGAGTTTTCTAGTGAATGACGGAACACCCTCGTGGGGAGGGTCATTAAAGCGCGCTCTGGAAATATGCAAAGTGTTTTCGGCGCGTTCTGAGCGGCGATTGGCTTATGATCTGTGACGACGAGACAGACTGAGTTGCTCGCTACGTCAGTTCATATCACAAAAAAAAAAGTCAGTTCATATCACATAATGTTCAGTTCCTTTTGTAATAAAAACCTGATTCATTTTCAACAAGCGACTAATGGATAAATACAGTGAAATTTGTTTAAAAGTATGTTGGTGAAACATGAGGACTAACATTTAATGATTGGACATAGAAATAATCCTGAAATGGCCTGAGCTGTGTTTCCCAAAAGCATTGTGAGGCCAAGTTCATTGTGAAGACCATTGCTATCAACTAGCTTGAGATGCTTTTGGGAAACGCAGAACAGGACATTGATTTAGTTAAAACTATTAAAAACATTTTCCTTCACTGAAATAAAGCTGCATAGTTAGATGAAAACATATATATAAATATATACTTATAAATAACTGAAAGTTGGAGAAACTAAAATTACTAACTGGAAAAAACTAACTGAAATGAAAAGGTAAGTATTACCTAAGAATACAGTAATATTTAATAAATACATGAAAATATAAAAATAAAAGTTAGTTCAAAGATTATTAAAACTATGATGTAACACTAAAATAACAGATATTCACCCTATAGATTTGAGCTTGTGGACTCAAGTGCTGAAGATCTGAACTCCAGATCAATATTACGTTGGTTAGGAAATGATTCCAACACTTTAATGACTCATTGGATTGATTATTGTGTTTGTCATTAAAAATCGTTGACCAGCAACCTCAAACAAAACAGAAACCTTTGACATGTGACTTTCCTGAAGTATTCTCGGTTTTCTGTTCAGTGCATTTATTTCTAATAATATATATTGGTTGAAACCTTTGTAAACTATATGCACTTATTTATGTCAGAGAAGGTCTTGTTCAAAGATAGTTAATGTGTTATCTTACTACTATGTGGATTGACTCAGCATTTGTGTATTTGCCTAATGAACATTGAAACGATACGACTATCAATATACAAACCCTTGCTCTGACCTCAATGAGTTACATGGGCGTTGGTTATATACATGTCTGACCAGTGTGACCCAACAGAATGTGGTTAAAAGAAGCTCAGTACTGCTTACTCATCCTGTCGCATTGCACTGAAAGCACTGAATGAGCTTTCTAACTTCACTTCAACGAAAAATCAGTGTTCAGCGAGCAAACTATTCACACTGATGCCATAATGAGATTAAAAAGTGCTCTAGTGACACCAAGTGGTCAGACTATCTTAAATCAGGCTATATTCTGGTCCAGTCTGCTGTATGTCTCCTCTCCTGTACACAAACCAGTTTCGCAGTTTGTACCAAGATAGATACAAGCTGACTTAATTAAATATAAATATATACATAAATAAATATACGAAGAAATGTAAAAAAGCAAAAATACAAAAAATAAATGCATAAATAAATATACAAAGAAATGTAAAAAAGTACAAATAAATGAGTATTTATACTTTTATTTCCATATTTATGTATAATTGTATTTTTTTCACAGATTTATTTATTTATTTATACATTTATTTATTTTCACATTTATTTATTTATACATTTATTTATTTCCACAATTAATTATTTCCACATTTATTTATTCCAACATTTCTTTCTCCGTATGCTAATGAGGGCATCAGCAATCGAGCTCAAAGTGGCAGTGCTGAAGCTTTGTGGCCACAGTGACACCTTGTGGTGTGTGTCCAAACGAAACGCAAGAGGTGTGGGGACAATATCACATTTTAAGTCATGTGTATCACCCTAACTGTAGAAAAGTGTGCACTTTGCTCACGCAATCATCATGGTCATCTTGTGTTTTCTCCTAAATACAAGCTCAAGGGTTTATTTCTTGCAAGTGAAGAAATAAGGACAAAAGTATTTTAATTTTCCTATATTATAGTGTAATGTAGACTAAAATATAGGCTACTTTTGAAATATTCATTTTCATTTATATAATACATTTATAAGCTTTATGGATTTTACGTCATAGGAATAATTACATAAATCATTATTACATTATTATAATAATTGTTTGGGATCCTAAAACACCATTGATAATGTAATGTAGACTGAGACTCAACTAAAAAGATGTTTGAGCCCTGTTTATTGTCCTGGTACAAATCAATGCGTTTTCTTTGTTTAACGAACAGTTCATGGGTTGAAGCTAGCTGTTAATTTTGATCTCTCAAAGAGCACGAGATTGATGCATTTAACCTTAAAATGTACAAAATTTTCTTGCGGGGGAGCATGCCCCCGAACCCCCCTAGAGGAACAGTAAATCAGTAAAACTGTAAATGCTATATTAAAGGTCTACCCAACAAATTCCTATAGGAAAGAACAACCATTTATGAACTTTACACCATCATAGTTCAACAAAGTTAATTTTAAGTCAGTAAAACTGTAAATGCCATATTAAAATGTCCTTGGACAAAATATACATTTGACCTGCTTAAGAGGGGGTCTAAAAGACATTGTGCCCAGGGGCCTCTGAACTCTTAATCCAGCCCTGACTAGGCCACTACTTGGCTATGTCACTATAACTGTAGACAATAACAGTATCATTTTCAAAAACTTGCACTTTGAAACCCATTTTCAAAAGTTTGCGTTTTCTGGCCCCTAAAATTACATTGTCATGACATGTGTAAATGAACGGCCAAAATTGAGTTTTTACTTAAAAACGGTGTTGCGTGCACACAGCCCATAAGGTAGCTACATTTACACAATAAAAATGTAAAGTTTTTCCTTTGCATTTTTGAAAAGTTTGCATGCAGACAATATTGTCAAAGCGATTCACATGTGATGTCACATACACACACACACACACACAAAAAAAAAAAAAAACGCACACCAATAGACTGAACATTATCATAAAATCGTGTTTTTGTAGTTTTTATGGAGAAGATAACAATATCATTTTCAAAAGCATGCACTTTGAAACTCATTTTCAGGCCCATGAACACAGTTGTCATGTAAATAAAAAAGTTTAGCTGAAATGGTGTCATATAAAGGGCCTTAAATTTCCATTTTTGACGTCAGAACACAGAAGACTAATTTGCTTGCAGATTTTTCTATGGGGTTTTTATAATGGGTAATTCATGAGTAAAATAAGGTCTGTTGTAAATGTAACTTTTAAGTAACTAGATAAGAACTCAAAGAAACCAGCAGTAAATCTATCATCTGGTTTCTGACCTGCAATCCCCTTTTGCATTGATTATATATATAAAAGAACCACCAGATTTTAAATGATTCTGGGTCATTGAGTTTATTCAAACAGAATCAAGTTAGCAACACATTTACAAATCATGAAGAATGGGACACGTCACACAATAACAGGTGGTCACGTGACATTTTAACAGGGTTCCGTAAATGTCTATATCCCCAGGACAATCCGGCTGGAAGATGGTACATGGTGGCCGAAGACACTGCAGAAGCCGGTGGACCATCCAACAGGGTCTCATCAGGAAATGGGATGATGGCAGAATGAAGGCTCCACTAGCTGCATCAAAGCATGATTATTCTTCCTTCACTTCATAATTGTGTTTGATGTCTTTCCAGAGTTTCTACAAAAAACACACACACACACACACACACACACACACACACACACACACACAATTAGATCACACATGTTGAGCAGAACACATTACAGATAACGTTACAGAATTTATACAGACATGTAGAGGTAACCTTAGCATCACAATGTTGTATTATGCCCTTGAATGGTTTAATAATATTTGATCATTATTAAAACAAAATTATATTATACCAAACTAAAATGTATTTTTTTAGACTAAAGTTAAAGTCTATATTTTCATCCCACTGCATATTTAGTTGCAGTTAGCCAGCGCGCTAATCAAGGTCAGTCTGCCGGTGGGTCATGAAGATATCAACTAAATAAAATGGAAAAATAACTTACCCCCCGATTTATGCTTTCAAATACCGCATCTCCAGCCTGATCAAACACCCTCTCGAAGACAACAGCGCCAACCATAATGGTTATAGCGAAAGTTGACGTTCTCCTGAAGAGCAAATTGTAGACACTTCTTACGAGCGCCATGATGGTCAATGGAGTCTTCCGGAAGAAGAGGCGGGGCGATGAGCTGTCTATCAAATCCGTCGACCAATGAGTACATAAAGCAAATATATTTTTAAATTAATTACTTTACTTATCTTAGTATTTTCGTTTTCTTACTTCAACATACCTATTTGAACTCGTAACATTATTTCTCATATATATCTAACACACTGAATATTTTGGAACAGAAATCCAACATAAATTATGAATCCATTCTTATATTTCGCGTATTTACCATTCAATTTAGTTATTACTTTTACATTTGAGGGTAATTATAGCTTCATTTAATCAATAATAGATTAAACACCCCTTTTAAGAGTGGAATGGAAGATTCCACCCCTTCTCGCACAGTCGTTTAGTTTCTACCGTAACCCGGTTGATTTTCCCACGTGACCGCTGCGACTTCCTTTCTTGTGGCAGCCATCGAGAAAAATGGTGAGGATTTTCCCGAAACCCAACAATCTAAATCAATCTGGTCGATTATACATGCTTAATAGCTCCGAGAACACGTTTAAAATACACATTGACTTCTACGCTAGAGTTTGAGCACAGTATTTGAAGTGTTGACCTTGCTATAAAATGGAAATTAATTGATAAAACGAGACAGTGGTATGTGCGTGTAGCCTGTTAGCGTAGCCGTACCATAAAATTTTACAACTTGAAACATGCAATGATAGGTACGAAATAGTATTTTTTTGGAACTACGTTTTGATATTGTAGATTTCAACAGTCAACCGCCATCGGACTCAAAATGACAGATTGCTAAACAACCGTTTTTAGACGACATTGGTTAAATTCAGTGTGACCTAACATGTTTTCACTAACATGTTCTAAGTTTTCAAAGCATCATCATCAGAAATACGTGATATTATAGTTAGGAAATAAAAGAAAACCAATCCATAATAACTGCATTTGTTTGCTTGTGATATGTGTACACCAAATCCCACGAGTCAATAACATGGTTTAACGCAGGGGTCCTGGGGGGCTGCTGTCCTGCAGAGTTTAACGTTAGCTTTCTTTCCCACACGCCTGTCTAGAAGTTTATAACGTTAGTTTGCCTATAAAGTCTTTGATTATCAGATTCAGGTGCGTTTCATTCTGGTTGGAGGCTTGAAGCTAAACTTGGCTGGACGCTGACCCTCCAGGAGCAGGATTGGACACCCCTGGTTTAACATGTAATATATTGGTTTGAAATAATACTAATAGATATTGTTGTTGTAGGCAAAGATCAAGGCCAGGGACCTTCGCGGGAAGAAAAAGGAGGAGCTGCTGAAACAGCTGGATGATCTGAAGGTGGAACTGTCCCAGCTCAGAGTTGCCAAGGTTACTGGTGGAGCTGCCTCCAAACTTTCCAAGATGTGAGTGTTTGCTGGGAGTCACAGAGTTTACTGTTTGTGGATGCATGCTTCTGGCCTGAATGTGCTGTATTGGAAGAACAATTTTTCAGGGCCCCTCCTGCAATGCAGTGCCAGCTTTAGTATTTAATGGGAATGTGGGTGAATTTTTGCTTTTTTAGTGTCTTCTGAAGACTTAAGAACACTCAAGGTTTATGTATGCATGTATGTTAAAGTGTGTGTATATATATCTCACACACAGGGTTTGAAATTAACTTTCACTCAACGACCAACTTATGGCTACTAAATTTAAGTTATCAGCCTTTCAACTTCTGTTTTTTTTTTTTTTTTTTTTTGCTAAATGTAGGTTAACTACCTTTTTTCATATATAATATAAAACTTGGCTTTCATACATTAATTTATTCAAACAAAACGAGCCATATCCTCCCTTTCACAAACTGTATTTGAGGTGGACAGATCAATACAGTACAAATAACAAAAAAGGATGTTGAAAATTAACTGTCTTCTGGCTAGCGACTTGACAGCGTTACCTGCCACAGGTGATTTTTACCCACTATTGGCGGGTGTTAATTTCAAACACTATATGTAAATGTGTTCCTTTTTTTTGCAACATTTTTGATCGTATTCAGCCTTCTCTGTTGAATGTGAATCAATTGAAGTCTACATTTGAAAATGTAAAGCATTATTCTGATAATTGTTTTCTCTTTCAGCCGCGTGGTTCGCAAGTCCATCGCTAGAGTACTTACAGTAATCAACCAGACACAGAAGGAGAATCTGAGGAAGTTCTACAAGGTCAGTTTAATACCACTAAAACATGCTTTCATACTTGAGCAAAGATGCTGTTTCACTGCTGGAAATATGCCTTAAACTCATTTTAAGTTGGTCTAGATGTCAAAGTCTCTGAACCGGATCTTGCAACCGTTTTTACTGCAGTGTTGATGTATTTCCAAGTGAAAGAGAATGAATAGAGGGCGGGTTTTACTTTAGCGCACTCACCATCCCTTGTTCATACCAGCCTGACGGTTGGTGGAGTGGTTGAGGATATTCATCCCAAGCCATCAAACTGACATCAGACAGGGAACAATATTCAAGCAAATTTTCAGATTTGAATTAAAGATTGCCTCGACAAACAATTTTTTTTTTTTTCTGTATTAACTTTAACAGATTAACTGTTCACCACAAGACTTGTTAGGTGTGCTTGCTAACAAAGTAAATGGGTCAATTTTAAGTTCAAAATTACTTAAAAGAAAATCATGCTATATTGCAGGTCCAACTGTGATCTAGACACCAACATGAGTCTCTTCAGGCAGGTTCATGATGGAAAGTTTGTGGAGTGTGCTCTGCTGCTTAAAGAACAGCGTTGCTCTGTGTTCATTTAGTTTTTCGTATGAAGTGGGAAGCTGTGATGGTCATTAGTGTCCTGTTGCAATCACTGTATTCGGATAACATGCATTGTTATTAGACTCCAACCCACAACTACACGACACATCCGTTTAGACTCCAGCAAGAACGATCACCCAGCACTCCTCCTGCACATGTGGAGATAGTGTGAATACTCTCTTGCTAAAGAAACACGACTGTTCACAGCAGAGTCTTTAAATGACGCTCATCTGCTGTGAGCAGCCGACAAAACCTTTACGTGCTGTCTTATCTTACGGACTTTCCAATTCTAGAAATTCTTGGAGAAGTCACTTTGTGTCTTTGAAATGGTTGATGCTATTCTAGTTATTGATTGTTCATTACTAAACAGTAAACAGGGATCGTTCTGTATCAAACTTCGAAAGAGCAAAGGAAAAATATTGTGATGCACAATGTCAGGGATGCCTAATGTGTTGGGCACCAAAATGGTATCAGCAGATCTTTTTATGTTCTCGTTATCGGCCCAATGGAAAATAATTAAAAAAATAATGGATTATTTCCTTGCAGATGCAGGGTTTTGAATTTCTTGAAATATGAAGAAAGGAAAATGGTTAAGTGCAACATGCATGTGCAGCACAACTGTCATAAAGGCTACATGCAATTCTAATGAGAACACTATAATTGTGTGTTTGTGACATGACTTTTAATGGTGAGACTGTACTTAGGCTTTTAAATAAACTTGGATTGAGATTTATTGGCCCATATATCGCTTCTCTGCTTTCAAATATTAAGCATTATCGGTATCAACCAAACCTTTCATATCGGTGCATCCCTAGTTAAAATCTATGGAAACTCTTCAGTCTGAGAACTGCTCATTTACGTTTAATATGGAAGGTTTTACAGCTTTCATAAGGTGTTTGTAAATGTCAGTCCAATATATTCTAACAATTGTTCTTCATTTTCAGGGTAAGAAGTACAAGCCTTTGGACCTGAGGCCCAAGAAGACCCGTGCCATCCGTCGTCAGCTGACAAAACACGAGGAGAACCTGATGACTAAGAAGATGCAGAGGAAGTCCCGCCTCTACACCATTCGCAAATTTGCCATCAAGGCTTAAGAGGCTGTACTGTTTTTCAATGAGAAAAAAATAAACTCCCCACCCTGGAATTAAGAGTCTCCAGTCTTTGTGTCTCTCTCTCTCTGAAGCAGCGATAGGGATTCTTGAGAAATGTGAAGTGGTGATTGCATATGGTACATACCTTATCTAGATCAGTGTTTTTCAAAAGGTGAGTTCAAAGAAACAAATAAGAATGTTACTTTGAGAACAAGATTTATTTTAAAAGGTGTGCATGAATACTTGACTCTGGTCAAAGCGTGCCTGAGGAAAACAATGTCCTGATTCAGGATCTGCTGTCAGATGATACGTTCGTTTCATAATTGAATATTTTGGTTTCATGTTCTGACACCTATGTTTAGGTGTAAGCAATGTGCTGTTGGACTGTATAGGCTACAGTACAGTCACTCTCTTATCTGTTTTTATATTGGAACTGGGGTGATTGAAGTGGGGGGGGTTTCCATTAAAATTATTGGAATCTATAGTATGCTTGATACCCTTGCAGTCAAAATGTTAAAGTTATTTAAAAGTAGAATAAAACAAGATATTTAAAATAATATATACAAACTTTTAAAGGGCTTGTTTAGGTTTTTAATTTGAGAAGAGTCTGCAGCATGAACAGATTTAAATGGGTAGTTCACCCAAAAATGGAAATGGTGGCATTTATTCACCCTAAAGTTGTTCTAAACCTGTATGAGTTTGTTCGTTGAACACAAAATAAGATATCATATTTTGAAGAATGTTCGTAACCAAAACCCCATTGACTTCCATATGGGAAAAACATGTTCAACAATACCGGTTTTGCAACAATTTGAGTGAAATGACAGAATTTTTTATTTTTGGATGAAGTTAAGTAGAATAACATTTGTATTCGATTTTTTTTTATTATTATTATTTTTACACTTTTTGTATTTGTAGCTAATCTTGCCTTCAAATGCTCAAAAGAAGTTTTTACTTTGAAAATAATAATTGCGACGGGTTTTAAGTGATTTTGATCGCAGAAAAAAATGGGCTTGTGATCTTTTATTTTATTATGATTATGTTTACAAACAAACGATGATTCAGTTATTTACTTTTTTTTTTACAAATCCTTTTTAAAGATTTTTTTTATTAAAGATTTTAAAGGTTTATACCTATTTTTTTTTTTTTCACAGAAAGTTATTTAAGTATTTTCCAGATAATATTTAATAATCTCTGGCTGTAGAATAGAAACATGATAAAATCAAATAAAAAAAGAAAAGAATTTATATGTAATCAGAATGGCATGCATGGCCAAGCATCACTTAAATTGTGTACAAAACATGGTGCAAGCTGTATTTGTTATTTTAATTTAAATGTATTATCATAATCATAAACGCATTGGTTAGCACTGTTAAAATAGTTTGACAGTTTACTGCACTATTCTTCAACATAGCAGATAATGAATTGAAAGTCTCTCTCATTCACAGCATTGCAGTGAAAATACAGTAAGTTGGCTAATGAATCAGAAGCCTTGCAAGCTCAAATAACAAGCGCCATCTTTATCGTCCTGTTCTCGGTTTAAACTCGTCCATCTCTCACTTCCCTCCTCTGTGCTTTTTTCTTCATCCCCCTCTTCATCCAGTTGCTCAGATCCACAGACGAGAAGCTCCCCGCCGGGACTGAACACACAGCCGAACGCTGAGTCCTTATGACCCTGAAACACACACGCACATTATGAGGCTTTGTGATGTCATCATAATGCTAAAAATGAGCAGTCAAAGGTTCATGATGACCTTCAGCCTCTTCATACAAGCTCCAGTGATCGTATCCCAAATCCTCACCTAACGAAGAGACGTGTCAAAGTCAAGCTGTGCAGCAAAGTCAGTGTGTGTGAATGAGTCCGTGTTTGTTTTACCATGTCGCCTTCAGCGGCGGATGCCAAAACCCGTCCGTCTCTGGAGAAGGCCAGACTCCTGATCCACACACGCTCACAACCTCCCAAGACAAACAGACATGTGGAACGCTCTGGCAACCACACACGCACCGTCCCGTCCCATGAGCCTGAGGCCTAAAACACACATGCAATACATACATAAATCATACTTTTGAACTTTCTGTTAAATGTCCCTATTATCTTGAATCAAATACCAAAGCTCACTCTCAACAACAAATCTGCTCACCAGCATCCCAGTAACAGAGAAACAGAGACAGGCCACATTTCCCTGGTGCCCCTGTAATGTCACAACCTCCTTTCCGCCGTGAAGTTTCCACACTCTCACGGAGCGATCCCAGGAGCCCGTGGCCTGTGGCGAAGAGAACGAGAGAAGAGGTGATGCAGCTCATGCTGAACGGCTCAAAACAAGCGACACAGAGAGAGCGTGAGACTCATACCACACACTGCGAGTCTGAGGAGAAGACGCTGCTCTGGACAGCTGCAGTGTGACCCCGCAACTCCTCAAACATCTCACCACACTGAAACACCAAACATTACATTCACAAACACACCTGTTACTACATGATGAGTGTCCAAGATTTCTGTCCTGAGAGAGATCATGTTTAGAGATCTGAAACAACCCTTTAACCGCAAGTAAACTTATCCCACATCATTTTAATGCTATATACAGATCATGAAAGTAAGGGGGTATATGAAAGTAACATATAGGCAAATATAATTTAGTGTAAAAATTATATAATAGACAAAGTATTATGCACTTAATATTTTTCTCACATTACTTAAATAGCTCTTTATACATGAAAATATTTAATGTGTCTTTATTTAGTCAAGTAGCCTACCACTCTCACAAGGTGTCTCTTGAAGTACGATTTTAAAAAGGGAAGTGTTTGTTTCACTCGGTTAAATACATTTGTCACTCTATTTAGGCTATGTATGTTTTAAAAAGGGAAGTGCGTGCTTGTTTTAGACATTAGTTCTTGAGCTAGCAATAGAAGTGTTGTTTTCTCACCCGGACTCTCCAGATCAGCGCCCTGTTGTCCCATCCACCCGACAGCAGCCACTGCCCGTCCGGACTGAAGCTCACCGTCTCCACACTCCGCGTGTGACCTGAGCTAACATCAACATGGTTATAGTAGGCTAAATACTTCTAGAGGTGATTATAAAGCAGAAAACTAACTTTAATCATATTTTTGCTGCTGATGATGAAGCAATGAATTAGGCCTATTTGAGCTCATCTGCTGCAGAACATGAAATCCATGGGGAAGAGATCCAGATCCAGATCAAACTAATCCCACCTTACATATACATAAACCTACCCAGCCCCACCCCTGATCCCTAAACCCACCCCTAAACCTACCCAGCTCCATCCCCTAATTCCTAAACCCACCCCTAAACCTACCCAGCCCCACCCCTGATCCCTAAACCCACCCCTAAACCTACCCAGCTCCACCCCTGATCCCTAAACCTACCCCTAAACCTACCCAGCTCCCACCCCTGATCCCTAAACCTACCCCTAAACCTACCCAGCTCCACCCCTGATCCCTAACCCCACCCCTAAACCTACCCAGCTCCATCCCCTGATCCCTAACCCCACCCCTAAACCTACCCAGCTCCCACCCCTGATCCCTAAACCTACCCCTAAACCTACCCAGCTCCATCCCCTGATCCCTAAACCCAACCCCACCCCCTGATCCCTAAACCCACCCCTAAACCTAATCAGCTCCACCCCCTGCCCTGATCCCTAAACCCACCACCACCCCCTGATCCCTAAACCAACCCCTAAACCTACCCAGCTCCACCCCTGATCCCTAAACCCACCCCTAAACCTACCCAGCCCCACCCCTGATCCCTAAACCCACCCCTAAACCTACCCAGCTCCACCCCTGATCCCTAAACCTACCCCTAAACCTACCCAGCTCCCACCCCTGATCCCTAAACCTACCCCTAAACCTACCCAGCTCCACCCCTGATCCCTAACCCCACCCCTAAACCTACCCAGCTCCATCCCCTGATCCCTAACCCCACCCCTAAACCTACCCAGCTCCCACCCCTGATCCCTAAACCTACCCCTAAACCTACCCAGCTCCATCCCCTGATCCCTAAACCCAACCCCACCCCACCCCCTGATCCCTAAACCCACCCCATAAACCTAATCAGCTCCACCCCCTGCCCTGATCCCTAAACCCACCACCACCCCCTGATCCCTAAACCAACCCCTAAACCTACTGAGCTCCACCCCTGATCCATAAACCCACCCCTAAACCTACCAACTCCACCCATCAGATCTGGATCCGACTCCGCCCCCTGGATCTTGTGTACTGCAATGAGGTGCTGGAAGAGAACGGTGATTATGAACGTAAACACCTGTCAGTATGTGTGTGCATTTTGTACTCGAGCTGCACCAGATCCTGACGGTACAGTCGTGGGACGCGCTCGCGAACAGCTGACCGTCCGTGGAGAAAACACACGATTTCACTGGACCTGCGGGTTTATTTCAAAAATGGGAACAAAGAAATAAACAAAATTGCCCATTTGCCCTCATTTCTATAGCTATAGGCTATGTCATACCCACTGCACTGCACCACTGGATGGACTCGTTACTGTGTTTATCTGGCACTTTTTTTTAAGTATTTGTACATTTACTTTCTATCTGTCATATTCATCTTTTACCTGTTTCTCTGAATTTGGTCTGGCCTTGGATTTGTCTTTTCTGAGTGTTTTTGAGTTCTGCAAATAAAACCCTAGAAAATGTATAGGTTTACTTCATCAATGAATGCCATATACAGTATATACATATATAGATAGATATATGGATTTTAGATAGCAGGGTTTTATTAGCAATTTTGAATATATGCATGCATGTATATATTTAAGAATTATTTGCACATAAATACTATATACCGTATATATATATATATATATATACATAATCAATATTATATATAAATATTTTATATATTAATAACACATTTTCTTAGTTATTCATACATGCATGTGTGTGTATATGCAAAATAATTATACATAGCACACACAAATATATTATGTAAACACTTTTATTTTGGAAAAAGATTAATCGCAATTAATCTTTGCACAGCAAAGATTACATATATATATATATATATATATATATATATATATATATATATACTGTATATATATATATACTGTATATGGAGTTTAGATAGCAGAACATTTGACTTTTTATTACTCTAGTCAATATAATTTTTTTGAGGATAAGCTTACTTATTGAATTGATGTTTTCCACAGGTCATTTCAAATGTTGAACTTTTTGTGACAACATATAAACAGGGTTGAAGAGGTTTATCTGAATTCCAGATTTTTGGGGTTATTCATGGTCTGTTGTAGTATAATTAGGGCATCGATGGTGAGAGGACCCTCTTGGAATTGCTCTGTTTATTATAATGTATAATTTTTTAATACTTTTACACTTTTACATTCTCTTGTTTGATGGGGTAAATAGAATAATGTCATCTCATTGTACCCAGTTTAAAAAAAAAAAAAAGGCTTATTACTGCATTCATAGAGCAAACTCATGTTATTCCAAACCCATAAGACTTGTGTTCAATTCCTATGATTAATTTTATGATCTCTTTATGAACTTTTTGAAGCATCAAAGTGGTAGTTGCGTAGCTGTCAATGGAGGAATGGAAATATCCCAGATATCATCAAAAAGATCTTCATTTGTTCATTTCTATTCCAAAGATGAACGTAAGTCTTGTAGGTTTGGAGTGACATGAAGGAATGTAATTACTGACTGAATTTTCATTTTGGGGCGAACTATCCCTTTAATGCACCTGAGTGTCCGCTGACTGTGGCCAGGTGTTCTGCGCTGGTGGCGTTCCACAGGTACAGTCTGCCATCATCACAGCAGCTGAGCAGAATCTGACAGTCAGGGGAGAACACACAGCAGTTCACCTGAGACAGACAAGAACATCAACACAGGCTTAATGCTCTGTCTATTAAAGTACAAACAAACATTACATACCTCTCCTTTGTGTCTGGAAAAATATCTAATGTTGGACAGACTGAAGTCTTCTGAGGGATGACGACACACGCTTCCTTTTTCATGAGAAAGATACATTTCAGAAATGTCAAAAATGTAATAATTAATCGAACATGGTCAATGAATCGTGGAGCTTGGCTGCAGTGTTGCAGCTCAGTTTTTGTTTGGGTTTTGTATCCAGAGTTACGGCCTCTTGAGTGTCTGCGCTTTATTACAGTACTTTAAACAGTCATTAACTCTGAAAACACATTAACAAGCTGACTGAGTGTGTGTGTGTGTGTGTGTGTGTGTGTGTGTTCACCTGCCAGTAGCAGTTTTAAACACAGATTTTAACGTTTTAAGTCACGCAAGAAGTACATAACACTCAAAAAAAAAAAAAAATTCAAAATGATTTTTGAAAAAGCTTAAGATGGGAATGATTTGAATGATAAAAAAAAGATAATCCTAAAAAGTAAAAACATTTTTAGATACCTGCTATTATGGAGGCTTTTTTCCGCCACTGAATAAAACAATATAAAAGATAAATGAGACTTTTTAATCTGACAATTCTGACTTTTTTCCTCAGAATTGTGAGTAATAAAGTCAGAATCGCAAGATGTAAAGTCGCAAGAACCTTTTTATGTTGTATTCAAAGGCGGAAACAAGGTACCATATGTTACAGTCAATTTTCCACTTTTCATTTTCATGACTCATAATAAATAATTCCACCCATTTGCATATTAAATAAACCTGAATAAAGATATAATAATATATCATTGTAAACAAATCATATTACTTGAATGACATGAAAACTTAAAACTGATATTTCATTAAAAATATACTTATACTAATATATTTAATAACCATTTGAAATATTATAAAGAAATTACATTAGCAATATGTGAGTAACATGTTAGTTGATTCTAGGCTGAAGGAGAGTTCGTGAAACCCAAACTTCAGAAATTTCCATTCGCAATGTCCTGTTAAATGCGTCACTGTCTATTCATGCTGTGTGTGAACATACCAGTTTACCCCATGACCCTTCAGAAGTCCTGACATGTTAGTGTGAGGTTTTTTGTTACATATTTTTGAGAAATGATCTCTGCAGGCACGAATACCCCATGCCTGGCTGTTTCTGAGTTACTCTGTTGGTAAGGAAGACATCTGTGTTCTAGTCTCACAGTCAGAGAGAGTAACTGACGTGACAGATCCGTAGGCTTTCTACTGAATGTTTACTCTCAACAACAGCAGGATGTTTATCTGGTCGTTTGCATGCGTTTCACGCAGCTCGCTCGCAGCAGGAGATGTGTGTTAGTCATCCTGTGTGGACATGCCTAAACAATGATATACCTTTCACCTTCACTGAATAACAATCACTTTGATTGAATCACAACAGTTGCAAAAACAAAATCTCATATTTGAAGCACGTTTTTTTAGATACAAATAAATAAAAATCATGTATTAGGATAGCTAAATAGGCTAATTATCTAGGAAATGCATCCCAAATCTTCTTTTGTCGATGTCAAGTAGGCTATTGTGCGTCAAATCAAGCTCTTTTTGGTGCATTATTGTACAATATCATAGGAATAATATGTTTGTTTTTAGGAAATTTGGTTTTGTGTTAGATACTTGTAAAGCTGGGTCTTGAAGCCAAACAGTTGAGAACTTTTTAAGAGGAAGTTGAGCTCTCTGACCTGCATGATAAGGGGCTATGATTAAATTGTGTGTGTGTTTGTGTGTGTGTCTGCAAGCGGATATGTGTAGGTGCAATGCATGTTTTCGAGAATTACTGAAGTCACATCTACTGCAGGGTGGGTATTTGTAGGAAACAGGAAAGCATCACTCTTGTGTATTTTTCATCTTTGATATTGATATATCCTAACTGCGTCACTCTTGACTGTACCGCAGTAACCCATAACCACAGGAAGACAACTGATGCAGTGAAAACAGATGTTCGAGTCAAATGTCGTTTTAGTTGTCTTCTGCATCTCTGGTCATCTGTAGGGTAAAGATCAGAACTTTGACCTCTATATGTTATCTCTCATTGACAGGCCTTTCCTTCTTACACAATGTGGTGGAACAAGATATTAGCTTGAATCCATTAACTAAGCTAACATTTTTCTGTCCGTCTGCCAAAAGATAGTTATTTTTCATGAACGCATCACTTCAGAAGGCCTTTATTTAACCCTCAAAGTTGTGGAGCACTTTTATCATGGATGGATGCACTTATGGACTTCAAAAAATATACAGACGATCACTGCCATTATAAAGCTTGAAAGATCCAGAACATTTTTTTAAAATATAAGTCCAATTGTGAAAGAACAATTGTCATAGCCTACACTTATAGGATGGCTTGAGAGTAAGTAAATGGCTAATTTTCATTTTTGGATGAACTATGCCTTTAAGATTTAAGACTTGTTGGATAGTGAAAAATAGTTTGAGTCAAAGTACCTTAAAAACACAAAATCGTCAAAGACAAATGGGAACAAAGATGATGTCATCGGAATGGAACGAGACCGCTTTTTTTTAACAGAGATGGAGAGAGAGAGAGAGAGAGAGAGAGAGAGAGAGAGAGAGAGAGAGAGAGAGAGAGAGAGAGAGAGAGAGAGAGAGAGAGAGAGAGAGACTGACTCACTGACGGTCACACACGGCTCTTCTTAGCTCTCTCGATTCGGACTTCATTTGCATTCCACACACAGACAGGGTGTGTTAAGAATTCGCTCGTTTTTAATTGACAAACTTGGACGTATTTCTCGGTCATGGGGAAAGTTTTCCTCTTCGTTTTGATCACATTCATTCTTCTGAACGCGACCGAGGCTAAAGGTAAGCAAATCGATTTCTTGGAAACCGTTTAGTTTTGATTCACTTCAAACAATCCATTGGTCTATATGTGTGTGATGAACGAGGAATCATTCGATTTAGGCGACTATAAAAAAAAGTCCAATACCAGGCTACATCGTTCAATCTGATTTTGCTCAAATTATAGATGTAGAATTGCAAGTACAAAAGTACTTTTGTGTTTCAATTTTTTCTTAAAGATTATTTCCAAAAGCATCTATAAACATTAAATAAACTATTTGAGTTTTATGTTATTTTATTTATATTATATATTTTTCATAATAGCCTACATATTGTATTATATACAATAAAGTAAAAAAGTTTTTATTTTATTTTTTTTACTAAAATTATGAAACACAAAATACTACATAAACCAAAGGACCCACAAAACAAACACACAAAAATACTTCACAAATTAATAAAAGCATATCTAAGTCTATATACAAATGCGTTTTTGAGAAACAGACAGATTGTGCAGATCTAATATCCATTGGGAGTCTATTCCATAACACTGGAGCCACTGCAGAATCTTTGTCACCTTCTGTTTTATATCTGGATCTTGGAATAGCCAACAATCCATGACTAGAAGAACATCTGAGACGTCTAACAGTTTCCAGTGATCTTGAAAGGTCCACTAAATACTTATGTAAAAAGGTATAAACCATGCCAAACCATGTAGTGCTTATGTCAATAATAATATCTTAAAAACAATCCAAAAAGTAATTGGTAGCCAATGTAATGAGGCTAAATTTGGAGTAATAGGATTAAAAGATCTAGTTAGTGTCAATAATCTTTAGCAGCAGCATTTTGTAACTGCTGTGATAAAATGTGTTGATTTAAAGTAGAAAACAGGACATTGCAATAATCCAGATGAGATGAAAAAAAGCATTAATAACTTTCTCTGTGTCTTTAAAACTTAAAATCTCAAATTGGAAATAGTTGTAAAAAGTACAGGAAACACATTTCTTAATGTGATACGTCAAAATAAACACCCAAGTTTTTAACTACCTGGTGCTATTGGGGAACATCTAATCACAAACTAACTCGATCTGACTTTTATATAGCCTTGACCTATTATCACTTCTTCATTTTTATCAGTATTGAATTGCAGAAAATCACAAGTCATCCAATTTTTTTAATATTTGCTAAGCATACATCACGATTAGACTTGTCCTTCCTAATCGTGACAGCATAGAGGACATCTAAGCTTCTCAGATCATTCGACCACAGTGATAAATATAACTGTGATTATGATATAATTCTGATTATGTTCAAAAGGTAACATCTAAATTGAAAACAAAATAGGTCCCAACAGCGAGCCCTGAGGAACACCACATGGTAGAAACACCACTATTTCTCTGAAGCCTGAAAAATTATTGTTTTCACTTATAACCTCCCATCTATCTATCTATAAAAGTAAGATGTACTATTCCTAACTCTTCTATATGTCCAATTGCAGGAAAGAGGGACAAAAGACAGAAGGGCAAAAGAAACACAACTGACAAGGCCAGCCCAAGGGTTTTTCGAGGAATCGCGAACCCAGTTAACCTCCCTCTTTCTCCTAACCAAACAACAGACCTGCAAGCTTTTGTCGTCCCGTCTGTGGAAGTGGAGTTACGCAGCAACAACACGGAAAAGTACCTCCGAGGTCCTCTGAGCAAGTGCTTCATCCCAGTTGTCTACATAATAGCCATCGTTGTCGGCATTCCCGCCAATATCGCCATTTTGGTCGCCGTTGGAACCAAAGTGAGGGTCATTTCATCTGCGATATTGTACTGTAGCTTAGCGTTGTCCGACTTGCTGCTGTTGTTCAGCCTGTTGCTGAAGACACACTATCATCTCAGTGGGAACCATTGGATTTTCGGTGAAACCGCCTGCCGCATCACGACCGCCTGTTTTTACGGCAACCTCTACTGCTCAACTTTCACACTAGCGTGCATTAGTATCAAGCGCTACATTGCCGTGGTGCATCCTTTTCTCTATAAGAGTTTGCCAAAACGCACGTTCACCACCTGTGGTTGCGTAACCATCTGGATTGTATTTATTATTGCCCTTCTCCCTGAATTCCTAGTGCAACAAAGCTACCGCATCACACAACTTGGAATAATCACATGCCACGACGTTCTTCCGGACAACATATATTACTACCAGTGGCTTGTCTATTATAACCTTGGCCTCACCTGTGTAGGTTTTTTCCTTCCCCTAGTGGTGACAGTAGCATGTTACACTTCCATCGTCTGGCACCTGAACCGCTCACACCAGGACTGGGCTCTTTACATCAGAGCTAGCACGTTTAACTTCGTGATCTTTGGCCTGTGCTTCGGCCCAAGCAGCTGTTTTCATTTTGTGCATTACGTCTTGCTGTCTGTTAGCAATACAGAGAGTTTCTACATCTACTTCAGTGTGGCCGTGTGTCTGTGTTGCCTGCATAGCGCTCTGGATCCGTTTCTCTTCATGCTCATGTCCAGGACTGTCGGAACCAAACGCTACTTTCTTGGACGCAAAGGACATGCGCTTAGCATCTCTACATAGAGTCAACATGAGATACATGTTGCGCAACCTTCCGCACGCAATCCTGCATATTTCCAAGTGAAACAGGATGTTTAATGGGAACTCGTTGAAACGGGCGAAATTGAAAAACGTTTTAACGGCAGAGGAAGTTGTTGCATTTTGATAAAAGATTACCAGCACTTACATTACTGTTCAAAAGATGACTGGATTTTTTTTTTAAAGAAATGAATACTTTAATTCAGCAAGAGTGCTTTAAATTGATCAAAATAAAGACATCATTTTATAAAAGATTTCCATTTCCAAATAGAATCCTGAAAAATATTTTTCAACCTTGATAATCAGAAATGTGTCTCGAGCAGCAAATCATCATATTAGAACGATTTCTGATTCTGAAGGATCATGTGATGCTGAAGACTGAAGTAATGATGCTGAAAACTCAGCTTTGCATCAAATTAGACATTACAATAGAAAACAGTTACTTTAAGTTGTAATAATATTTCACAATATTACTCTACTTTTTTGGTGTGCTGAAGAGACTTCTTTCAAAAACCACATGCTTTTGAACAGTAGTGCACATTTGATGAATCTTGCACAATAGTGCATTAAGCATATTAAGTATATAGGGTCAATTGTGATTTCATGTTGACCATATTGACTAAAAAGGGGGTAATCTAGAATCTGCTTTTTGTTTTGTTTTGGTCTTATTTCTAAAACCTACTTGATCTAGGTTTAAAGTATTTAATGTGTGAAGTGCCATTAGGAGAACTAATAGTTCGTAGTTCCAGCCAGTTGGCTTGAATCGCTTGGATAGGAGTTGCACCTTTTATACTGAATACAAATGGAAAGACATTTGAATGGCCCCGAGAGAAAGGGGTGTAATATACTGCCTGGACTGTGTTCAGTGTGTGTTATGAATGTTACATAAAGCCTTGTTGATCAAGGCAAAGTTTGTCTGTTTGTATAGCGAATGTAAATGCTTTTATGATAATGCCTCTATTTAAACCTGTTATTTTAAAGCACAGTATTAATATAGTCATTAAAACAAATAAAACAAAAAAGTCCCGATTTGTCTGATTATTTTTAGGTTTTATGGACCTAAATCAAATGCCATTTGCCTCGCTAGGGTCCAGTGGTGTTCATTTCTTTAAATTTGATTCATCAAAAAATGCAAGATTCGACATTGACTGCCAAAAAATACTTAAAATCGACATGAAATGTGATAGTGTTTTCTTTCATATTGCGATGGCTTCTCGAATGAGGAAGAAATGAAGGCACGGGACTTGATTTTGTTCATTGGGAAATGATTGGATGGTTGTGGTTTGCTATTGGGTGATCTCATGTGAGTGACAGGTTGCCCCGCCCTCGCGCCAATAAACGCATCATCAGAGAGAGATGCTGCTGCAAGAGGGAGGGTAAAGATATTTTAATTAAAGATTACGATGTGCATGGATAAATTGTTTATAATAAACACTGCAATATTCTACAAAAAAACAAGGGTAACACTTTATTTTATAGTTTCATTGTTACATAATATATTAATTATGCAGAATTATTTACAACTAACCCCAAACTAGACTATAACACTAAAAATAAACTAACACTTTACCTTAAAATATGATGTAACCAAAACAAGAATGGTCAGTTTTGATTTCATGGTGACTTGCAACTATAGAATTCACAATCATGTCATCTATTGTTTAATCCAGATTAAAGCCAATATCATTACAACTGATAGCCATAAGAAAATGTTGTATTAGACTGCTCTCTTTTTTGTTATCTCACAAAGATCTCCTCTTGTTTGACAAATATATATATTTTGATGTATGATATCCTCTTGTATTATTATTTTTGGTTATGACCGGATGGTATGATCTTGTGGTTTTTAGTTGGAATTATCCATTGTGCTTGAGGCAAATGCAATCATTCAAATGCTTGATATGAACTCATGCATCTCGATGTCTTGACAACCTCTATGGTTTCATAAGCGTAACCTTCCAGGAATGTGAACCACAAGGCAGGTGGGGATTACTGAGAAACAGAAGTAAAGTGTTTTTGTGCTTATTTTGTCATTGTAAATGCAAATGGACTTATAATAAATTAATATATTATTAAGTGCAAAGGAAAACCTTGTAAAATGTTTGTATTATTAAGCGTTATTAATATGTCCTAATTATTAAATTAATTATGGCCTTATTTATTCCTGTTTTTGTGCAGAATACAGCTTTCTTCATAGCGTTTGAAAATACAAAAGCTCAATCTATTTCAAGTTTTGGGTTTTGATTAATTATGTAAGTCAAGTAACTTGTATTTATACAGACCATTTCACAAGATGTAAACAACACTGGTCCAGAAGCACTTCCTGTTTCAGTTTGTAACTGTTTTCTTTATTTCACATGTAAAGAAAACATCTTAAAGATGTTTGTTTAACTTTTTGATTCAGTTTTAAATGTTCTGTTGGTTGTATTTTATCCCAGCTTTTATGTAGTGTTAAAAAACTGAAACCGGAAGTGCTTCTGGACCAGTGTTGTTTACATCTTGTGAAATGGTCTATAGTTCTTTATACAATACAGATTCAGATTGTTTTACAATATTAACAGGAAAATACTTAATGATGCACAGAGGATTCAAATCTGCTGTAAAGCAGTTCTAAAAAGACAATTGTAAACAGTCATTATTCAGTTGAAATCAGTTCAGTGTTGATTCACTTTGGTTCAATAAGTGTGTGAAGTACAAGTACATCAATTATAAAAACAATAGAATTTAGCTATAGCTAAAGCATCAAAAATGACTGTCAAAATCCAAAGAAAAAAATGCTTTTAATGGTTATTATTTTGTTACTCTTTGCTTAAATTTCTTTTTATTTTCATTTACATATCTGAGGACTGTAGCATAGCATCCACACTGTTTTTAGTCAATATAGTGAAATTTCAGCTATATAAAGTATTTAAATGCAGTGTAAAATTTAAATGTGCATTCAGAAATATTATTGTTTTTAGAGGAATCGATTAAAATAAGTTCAGAGTACTCATAACTATTGTTTTTATAAACTAAATTGAATTGAGGCAATCGGTTTCCTCAAATGAAATGAGTTAGCTTAACTTGTTGGGTTTTACAGTATACGACAGGTAAAGTATTTAAAATAAATGCTTGTAAAGCAATACAAATATTATGTTGAAAACGTAAATAAGCTAAAAGCTAAAAAACGTTTAAAAATTCAGGATGTACAACTAAGTGGGGGCACTCCATTTATATTCATTAGTTTATTACAGACTAAAGGCCTAACTTACAGTGAATTTGCTGAAACCTCCCTTATGAAAAAGAAGTATATTTCAAGTTCATTTTATGTAGTATACTTAAGTAGGCTAATGTTCAAGTATATTTTTAAGTATACATTATGTAGAAAGTATACTAATGTCACTATGTACTAGTAGTAAACTTGTAAGTGTACTATTTTAATACCGCTCGGGACTAAATTGGCCCACTTTTAGTACATAAAAGTATATGTTTAAGTGTACTATAAGTGTAACAGTAAGTGCACAACTAGTTCATAATTATGTATCTCATGTGTACTGCAAGTGAATTTATCGGTATACTAGTAGTTTTTTTTTTTTTTTTTTACTGTAATACTTATACAAGTATACTTTGAATACTTAATTATACTTTTAAGTATTTTTGGATCAAAAGATTGAGTACAAGAACAGGACAAATACACTTGCTTTTCTCTCAGTATAAGTAAAGTACACTTAAGTGTAATTTGAAGTATATTTCTGAGAAGTACATATAAGTTAGTATACTTCTGAGAAGTACAGGAAAAATAAACTGAAAGTATACTTTCTTATTTTTAGTTTAAAAGAAGTATACTAATGGCACACTTGATTAAACTTCTTTTTCGTAAGGAAAAACACAATTACGCTTTTTTTATTAGTAATGTATTTGTTTTTAAATTATTTATTTACCTAAGCTACTTACAAGTTTATGACCAGTCTTTATTTTAAAATGTTTAAAAGGCTCTTATTTTAAATAGTTTCCGGTCTCGTACGGTCTGGCTTCCCTCACAGTGGATCAGCTGAAGCGTATGACGTGAGCAGCGCAAGCACGTTTTCGTTTTGTTTAGCGCGCACGCGGTCTCTTGCCAGCCACGTTTTTCATAAACGCGTGCTATACCGTGTAATATTTCCAACATGTTTCTGTATGAAAAGGAATTTTTCGACATATTACAATCTTAAATCAGTGCGCACGTGGACGGCCGTACTCACGAGAACATGCCCGGACTTGTCTGATCTTCGGGGCCGGGTAACGTTAGACAGGACTTCCTCGCGACCATCATGGACAACAAATTTCCTGATCAGCTTTATCCACATCTGTATCTGGATGGTCCGCCTGAAGAAGAGGCGAAACACAATTATGGAGGCTGGGGTTCATACGAGCGAGTGCGCACTGTTGGTGCCGGGCCGGTGAGACGATTCACATCATAACAAAAGTGACAGATCCGTCCTGATCATGCACAGAATACATTGCAAATGCGTTGAGCACTGGCATTAAAAATGCATGCATGCTTATAACTTCATACTTTAGTTAGGGTCGCCTAATTATTATTTATTAATAGTAAGTTTACGTTAGTTAAGTTTAGATATGGGGGGTAGGAATAAGGGATGTAGAATAATAATGTGCTTTATAATTAGTATAAATCTTGATGTTTGGGAAAAACATATTCCATTTAAATAATCGCTGGGATCAAGTCATTTACTCACGAGGCCAAATCGGACACTCAAGACACATAACATTTTACTATCTGGAGTAAATTTCACCAGTGTTCAACTTGACAGAATCCACTGTCCATTAAACATATTTTGCTGGGCCCCTTTTAAGAATTTTTTTATTTATTTATTCTGTTGTTGATACTTTTGAAAAGTTTTTTAACCAAGTAAGTCAATGTTTATTATTATTAAGGTTAATAATATTATTAAGGACTTGAGGTATTAAGGTTTTTAGGAAAAAATGAAATCTTAAACGTCTTTAGTTTTATTTTTGATAATAAAGCCTTTCGCCATGAACATAAGGTAGCCATAAAAGTTGGAATTGCATGAAAAAAAGAAAAAGAAAAATAACCCTGATAATTGCTTAGAGATATTTATGAAAGATTATTTTGATGTAAAAAAAAAACCTAAATTATTTCATCTCAATGTTCCATATAACATGTGATATATTCTAGATACTAATACGCCTTGAAGAATCAGTATGAGTTAAAAGAAATTCAATAAAAATCCATATCGAATTGATTATGGTAAGGAGTTACCAAGTTATTATTAATGATAAGTTGTAAAGAACAGGAATCAAAATGATTACATCTTGCAAATGTATTATTAGGCGGCCCAAAAGAATAGTAGGACTTCTCGTAAAACTGGTTGTTTGTGGTTTCTTCTGGCATGACAGGTTTAACGGAAAGATAAAAAAAAATGTGTCAATTTGTTCCACCTATACCACAATTATCATAATGTTATGTTTCACTTACTCCACCGTGTGAATGTGTATCATAACTGGCTTGATTGTGATTTTACAGTGTGATGCTGAACAACCGTGGTCCCCTCCTGTGTTTGAACCCCAGCACGATGTGAACAGTGAGGAATGGCTGCCGGTCAAACCAGCCGTCGCCCCTTTAATGCCACCATATGAAGGTAAACATTGTTATTAATGGTAGGGGTCCTCCGATCAGGATTTTTGGGGCCGATCCCCGATTACTGGAAGCTGGATCACCCGATACCGATCACCGATTACAGGGTCTATTTGAAGACTTCTATTTATAATGTAGCATTACTTATTACTTATTAGACTATATTTAACAATAATGTACATTTATTACATTAAAGAGAAGACAATGTATCATGAATTGACACCTGTGTATTTATTTGCAAGCAACATGTCCAGCATATTAACTTAGCAGCAGCTTAGGGATTGACATACAACTTTCCTGTAGAATGTAAAATAAAATAAAGACAAAAGACAGAACATCCGAGTCTTTAAATTTAGCTTTACAGGGCTCCAGACTAACTTTTTGCCTTGGTTGCTCTGGTGGGGCTAAGCCTAACTTTTTTATTTAGGTGCACCAGCACATAAATAAACTGAACAAGTAAGACATTTCAATAGTTCAATCGTGTAACAGTACATTTTCTTAATTCACACAGTTAATGGAGTTTGCTTTGTTGTGCCCTTCTCGTTTTGCTATTATGGAGAATATGAATTCTGAACTACACGGGTAACCATAAAACACATTCAATTTAACATTAGTCATGCAATGCTGATGTTGTTAACATGAACAATTTGAGAACAAAGTAGGCTATAATTTGCACGGTTGTTGTAAATCGTGTTGATTAAATCTAACGACGCTTATGTCGAATGCTTTTCCCCCTTATATTAGTTGATCAGAACAAAATGGATGTTACTCACTTGTTCAGAAGACATTTTCCGGTGAATATTCTTGTGTTGGTCAAACTTTCAAAAAGTAAATCTGTGATTCTGTATGACAGTATCCACACAGCGCGGTGATTGACAGCAGCACTCGCCTCAAAACACTGTGTGTTCATCACTGTTTCATACCGATTTACAACCCACGCAAAGATGATAATTCCGCAAATAACTGAAATTGCAGATTTCGAACAGAGATGGCGACAAAGAGGAAAAGCTACGGACTGCAGCTTTAAATGGTCATGTCTCTTCAGAAGACCTGGATTAAACCATTGATTCATATTGATAGGGCAGAGAACTCAAAGATTTGTGTTTCAAAGATGAGCAAAAGTCTTACAGATTTAAATTACATGAAGGTCATATATTATTTTGCATTTTTCGGGTGGTGAAATTTGCATAATGTATTTTTTTTTTTTTTATCTTTCCAAGATGCCAAAGTCCCATCTATTGATCTACCAGATCCAATGAATTTTCCAGATCATGTAAGTTAGGGCAGCATGATTCACAACGTCTTTGGGTTTGCTCATTTTTGTGACTTTTCTCAACATGTTTTATTTACTACAATAAAATGTGTTTTGTCTCTGTTCTCCCTTCAGATGCACTATTTCTACCAGCATTACTTTATGGATGCCTTCTCCACAATGGGACATTTGCTCCAGGATGACTTCACTTTCCAACGTAAAGCACCAAAGGTGAGGGAGTGCTGATGTGTGTGCTTGTTGTGGTCAGAATGATTTGTTGTTGTCGGCATGTTTTCTAGTGGTCTTGTAATAGTTGTCTTCTGCTCTTGTTTTTCAATCAGGATGTTTTGTCAATGCGCTGGTCTAGAGACTTTATAAATGGCTTAAAATATAAGAGGTAAGATTATTAAATGTGAATCAAAGTGACAGTGATGTGATGTGTGGCCAAGGATGGTGTCCCATACTAAGAATTTGTGCTCTTCATTAAATCCATGAAGTGCAAAGAAAAATTAGAATCCTTAAAATAGCATAATCGGGGCATTTAAAAACAAAAATGGTTTTAAGATTGTCCAATTTACATTTTAAATGCCTGACGTCACAAGGAAAAAAATCATAAGGTGGAGTTTCACTTAATGCGTTAAAAAAATCCTCTTTCTCATTTTAGGTGCGAGTATGCAAATTTCTCGAAGAAGATCCGTCGTATGCACCATCTTCTCAGGGATATTGTGAGCGATGTTCCTCCGTCTCTGCTTTCCTCGCTCCTCTATGAAGAGCTGACGACTCAGAGGGAACGGCTGCAGTTCAGTGCAGAAAATACAGGGGGTACTCTAGGATTTGTGCCCTTGCGTGATAACCAGAGCAGCAGAGTGGCCTCTCTGATATATCCCAGGGGAGTTGGGATGGACAAAGTCTGTATCCTCCTACCGTAGTTGCAATAGTGTCATAGTTTATTTGATGCCATAGTGAAGAACTTTATTTAGGGGTCAGTGATCTGAGGGCTGATGTCTAACTATTTAACTCCATATTTTATTTTATACCTGTTTAATTAAATACCTTACCAACACCATGGCAAGCACATAGCGACTCACTCATAACCACTTGAAAAAAACGTTGCCCCGGGCCGGGGTGTCCAATCCTGGTCCCTTTTAGACCATTTAAATATGTTTTTTTCTTTTATTTTTTCCTTAACTGCAGTTCCTCAGTTTTCCACAAGGTGGTGCAACATTTTAATGACGACAAGCCTCCTAGTTTTGTCCTGCAACCCCAACCTAGTGTGTTTTATTTGAAAGGCTCTATCAGACAGATCAGTCCTGGCAAAATGGAAGAAGAAGGTGAGATGTGGGAAATGGTTTGGCTGAGAACAAAGCTTACATTTGGAAAGAATCATTGATCACCGATCAAACTAATGTAATCAATGAAATTCATGCATTGATGGTAAAATGTCTTCATGTCAGAGTAAAAATCAATGTCAATTACATGCTATGTCAAATTATTGCATGTCAAACATCTGTGTGCAGGTCATGTGGCTGTGCGGTCAGATTATTTATGTGGCGTGTGGGTACTAGGAAGCCGAACGAAGCCGCGGTTAGTGGAAGTCATCGAGACCAAAGATCCCTTCTCCTGCGTCACCGGCAGGTGTGTCTGAAAGCTCTTGCTGCCTCACTTTAACATGTGTCTCACAGAACACGTTTGTGCTCCTGATGGATCCTGATTATTCAGGGCTTCCTTAAAGGGATACTCCACCTCTGGAAAGAGGAATGTGCATTTAAAATGGGTCATTTATGTAGAAGAAATGTGAAATTATTTTTGAATTTGGAGCTTTCTAGACTGAGAAAAGCCAGAAAATGTATTTTTGGCTTATGTGGATGAAAGACAACAACACCCAGAATGCACTTGCTTCACTGCCCTAGGAGGCCATGCATGTAACGGAGCGCTGTTGTTTAATTGTCACTTTTTACTTTTAATGCATCTTAAATAAAAGTATTATTTTTAAATGGCCCCGTTTTAAATGGCAATACATATATTATTGAAACGTTTAACTAAATGTATTTTGTATTTCTTAAACAAGGGTTGGGTCACCCAAAAATTTTATTCTGTTATTATTCACTCACCCTTAAGTTCTTCCACACCTCGAGGAGTTTCTTTATTCTGCTGAACACACAAAAAAGGACATTTTGAAGAATGTTTGTAACCAAACAGTTGATTGACCCCATTGACTTCCAAAGTATGGAAAAAATAGAAGAGAAGAATGGGAACATGGCTTAGGAAATTTTTGATTTCTCCTTGAGAGAAACTTACTTGTCTTATTAATGGGTGTTCTTTTTTGTCTTTCACAGTCCACACATGCCAAATGAGTTTGTGGTGGTTAATGAGCGGGGAGCAGCATATCTTTGGACCGTGCGCAGAGGGTACGTGTGTTTTAAGAACAATGTGTTCTTCACTTGCTGTTATCTGGTGCTTAGAGCTCAGTGTACCAACATCATCCTATCAGCTTCCACTAAAAATTGTCCTTTAGCTAAATTTTGAGCAGTACCTGAGAAAAAAAGTGCATTAACTGAACATTTTCCGCCATTGACTGAATATAATAAAATATTAATATACTTAAAAAATGTAGTGAAAATTTAACATGGTGTATATGTTAAGCAAAATGCTCCTTTCTTGAGTTAATTTTTGCTTTCCTGTGGTAAATGTAACATTAGATGACATTGTTTACAAGCGGTTTTATTGATGTTGTAGGAAACTAAAAAGCGAAGACCAGGAGACTCCAAAAGCCTTTAAAGACAGAAGATGAGTCTCAGTAATCGGACTCATTTAACTCACAATAGAGAGAACAGGACTGGCAGGAATCTCTTGGTTGATATCATCATAACAACCTTAAATGCTAAATTCCTTAGTTTTTCGTAAAATGTTATGTAAGGACATAAGATCAGCAGATCTTAAACAGATTCTTAAATTTGTAATCCCACAGCGTGTTTCTGGGGTTGAAACTCTGATTAAGCGACTACATGATACATGATGCAGATTTATGGAAGTTACGTTCAATCATGTTTACGGCAACAATGATCTGTCTCGTCAAAGAAAAGAAAAACTGTCAAAACGGTATATATTGTTTGAATTTTGTAATAAAATTGTCTGAATTTGAAATCTGAGACTTCACCCTCATGCGGTTCCAAACAAAAAATGAGGATATTTTAAATGAAATCTACAGCTTTCTGTCCCTCCATTGACAGGTACGAAACCACCACTTTGACGTGTCAAAACATTCGTAAATAGATCGTAAAACCAATTCATATTTAGCAGTTTAGTCCAAATTTTCTGAAGAGACACATTGGTAAAAATAATAGTCCAAATAATTTATGAAGACACATTCTTTATGATGAACAGAATGAATTTATTCGCATTTAAACATTGATCAGAGAACATAGACAGCTCAATCGAACCCGCTTGGTTCATACTGTTCCAACTAACCTCATTGGTTCTTCCTGAAGCTCGAACGTCCTGTGTAACACGAGAATGAACCTCATTGGTTCTCACACAACATGCAAACGTGCTTGAGCTTCCTTTTATCATATCTGGTGTTTGAGTTAATTATTGCTTATATATGAATAAAAGCCTAAATTCAATCTGTTCATCATATAAAGTGATCGAGTCTCTACAGAAATTTTTACACAGTGGTAGTTGCATAATTATCTATACGCTGATTTCACGCAGACAAGATTTTGAAATGGCTCTGGTGGGATGAAAACCGGAAGTGTCACCTTTAATCATTGGAGAGTCATGAATGCGATGGTGTATTGTTGTTTAATGTAGAAATTAGTTATTCTACAAATGTGCATACATTTATTTTATACTTTAGACTATATACAGTGAAATTTTCATAAATAAAATAAAAATTTTTTATATATATATATATATATAATTCTGAACGTAAAAAAGAAGCAGGAACGAACTATATACATATACTATATTGGATATTAACACCCAATAGTGTAAATCGCGGCAGGAGCTTCAGGTTGGTAGTCCAAGGCTGCGTGAAATCAGCGTATGGAGGGATAGAAAGCTCTCAGATTTCATTAAAATATCTTAATTTGTGTTTTGAAAGTCTTCTGGGTTTAGAAATAAAATGAGGAAGAGTAAATTTAATTTTAGGTGAACTATCCCTTTAAATGTCAGTTTGTTTGTCTCAGAACTTTATCATATGTCTTCACGAGTCTGTACAGTGAGCTGATCCCCTGACCACATGATGCAGTGTGTGGTTGCGAGAGTTTTGTGACATTCTGTTCTCTTTTAGATTGCAGAAGTTCCGTGAGGAGAGTTCCAACCTGTACTTCAATGCCAAGTCGTCATGGCGATGGTGCGAGTTCTCCAGTCACCCGAGAGTGATGGTCTATGCTGACAGAACAGGGGCGGAGCTTACAGACATACGGGTAAAGTGGCTCTTTTTACGTGTCATAATTGGCCAAAATAGAGTCCTCCATAAACATTTAGTGCATTGTTTTATGGCCAAACCACCAATACAACAACAGCCTACCAGAGTAGAAGCAACATCATGCAAAGGTTTTTGGCCTCTGTTTTGGCCTCCATCAAAAGAGGATGTTAGAGATACAATTATTATACAGCTGAAGACACACCTCTCTCGTGAACACAAGTACAAACAAGGGCACTTACCGAAACTTACAATTAAAATGAGGTCTTTCTCTCTTGCTCTTCTTTTCTGCATTTCACTTCTGCTCCAGCTTGCATGCTCTTGTTTATGCTTTAAATTCGGCATTGTGTATTATGAATATTTTGTAAGGCTCCTAATTTGTAAGTAGCTTTAAATAAAAACATCTGATAAATTAATAAATGTAAAATCTAGATGTATCTGACTGATTGGATGTGGCGTGACAGATGACGAAAAGGAAGACTCAAATCATCTTATATCAAATATTACATCCCGCTTATTATTAATAATAATAATGTTATTTGATCTAATCATTATAAAATTTAAAATCCTAATAAGAGTTAATATTTTTACGTCTTATTATATAGTATTTAGAACATTTTTTAATTTAAAATATCAAATTAAAATGTCATTAAAAATATCAAATTATTTTATTATCTACATTTTGTCAACTTAACTGTAAAATGTATTGGGTGAAGAACGGCCTGTAATTTGGGATTTGACCACAATTTGTACCTCTACTATTTATTTCAGATTTGTGTATTTTATGATCTTTTGTTTTTCACTATTTTGTTAGTCTTTTTTTTTCTCTTTTTGTAAGTGGGTCTCTATTTATTATTAATCTTTGTCACTTCCTCTATGCAGTGTCATGAAAATACTCACACGTTATTCCGGATTGGAAAGACACCAGGTTGTGTTTCAGGAGAGCGAGTGATAATAGCCAAGTACCTGAGTAAAAGCCACGCCCATCACCACCTTATTAATACCCAGGTAAACACTGTCATATATCACCATTCAAGATTAGTGTTTGTGTCAGAAATTAGTGCAGAAGAGTGTTTTCCACCTTGTGTTTTTTCCAGTGAAATCCTCCAGAACTTCCTTGAACGATGATCTGTATCAAATGTCATGGGATTTGTTGTACACACACACACACACACACACATTCAATTGAACCTTTTTTTTTTTTTTTTTTTTTAATCTTTTATTAATCTTCACTGGAGCTGTTGTCCGTATAATTAGAGATTTGATATTTAATGCAGTGGAGCGTTTCCTTGTTCGGTGTGTTTTATAACCATGACAGCAACTTGGCTCTACCATTGTAATACCATGATATTCTTTGAACTAGCTTGGTGTAAATAAATATGTGGTAATAATTATGTATCGAGGTATACTATTTATACACTACTGTTCAAATGTTTGCTATTTGTAAGATATTTGTATCAAAAAGACTAATGCTCACTAAGGCTGCATTTATTTGTTTAAAAAAAAAGGGTTGGTCCCACTTTATATTAAGTGGCTTTAAGTATTATGTACTTACGTTGAAAAATAAGTACTATGTACTTATTGTGTTCATGTTATATTGTAAAACACTTTTGCTACTATTGAGAAGTGATTAGGTTAGGGACAGGTGTGTGGGGTATGGGTTGGTTTAAGGTGTAAGGGAAGGGTCAACAGTGTAATTGCAAATTTAATTACAGCTGTAATTACATGCAGGTATTTTTAAAATACAAGTACAATGTAAAAACATCCGTAAGTCCATTGTATCAAATTATTAATTTCAATGTAAGTGGATACTACTTAAAGCCACTTAATATAAAGTGGGACCAAAGTTTTGTTTACGGTCACGTGTCAATTTAATGAATTCTTGCTGAATAAAAGGTAATATCTTTTTAAAAAATCTTGACCCCATACTTTTTGAGTGTTAATTTTAAAGACCCGGTAATACCCGGTATCTGATTGTAATACCTGGTATCTGATGTCATCACACAGTTTAGGAGAAATAAAGCAGTTCCTGTTTCCTCGTCTGTAGTATTCCACTTACATCATGGATGAGCGGGTTCCCAGTGTTCCCATGCTGAAATGGAACCATATGATGGAGGCTCCGCCAACATTTGCCTGCGATCTGCCAGGACAGACCCCAAGCCAAACCTGCAAATTGCTGCTTGGTTCTCAGAGGACACAGGAAATCATGCTACTGCAGTACACGGGTGAGAGGCGTTTGTGTATCAGCAACAGTTTCTCTTTGGTTACTCCACATCCTCATTTTATGTACATTTGTGAATAGAGCACCGATTCCATCCCATGTGGATCGTCAGCACTGTTCTTAAACCCCTCTGATTGGCCATTGGGTTCACACGCTCAACATTTAGGTCTGTGATTTGCTACAATGACCAATGCTTCAAAGCATGTTGTAAATAGACATATTTGACGCTCTTCATCGAGCGCTTCCACAGATGCACACGGGGTCTGCTGATACACGCCTGTTTTCAAACGCTCTCGTGTGCATCTGTGGAAGCACTCGGTTAACTTAAGAGCATCATGTTTGTCTCATCAATGGTATAATAGCTGAAGTGCGTCCACACCTTGGACTTAATTGTGGCTGGGCATCTATTATTTTACTCGCACTGCTGTCCACCATCCTGTTAAAACCCTCTTTTTCTTAGGCTAGTATGTTTCTCTCATTCATGTATTGAGTGTTACTTCAAGGAGCCATGAAATAGCTACGCTGGGTGCAGGGAAATCTATTTAGAGCGCCTTATTAATAAAAATATTGATGTTCGCCGCTAACATATCGATTCTCGTATCGCACGGGGAAGGACAACGATATATCCCCCATCGATATTTTGCCCCACCCAAAATATCACTTTGAATAAAGGCACCGTACTAAACAACTGAATAAATGACTGCATTTTTCTCTTATGTCACTCAGGTGGGAGGGAGCATGCCTGTCAGACTCAAGGACCCATTCAGAGGCTTTTTAATCCCAAAGAGTGTCTGAGCCACCTAAACCTTCAGCTACCTCACAAGAAACACATCGCTCAGAAGAGACTGAACGTGCCTGTTTCAGGTCAGGATACTTTCACAACCAGCTGGATGGTATTAGATGCTATAGCATGACGTATCTACTATATTAAACTATTTCATTAGACAACTATGTTGGGTTCTAACTAAGCTTTTAGGTTGGGTTGAAGTGTGGACGTGATAATTATATTTAATGTATTTAATGTATTTTAAATGTATTTTTATGTATTAATGCTAACTGTAACCATTGTATTGTGGCAGAAATAGTTGTATATTTTTTAAATTATTCATTTTGTTTTCACTTTACTGTTCATACGATCCTTTTATCTTTATCTTAACTCAAGCTCTTTGCTCTACTGTCAAATGTGCATTTCCATTAAAAATAAACATAGTAGTTGCTGTAAATCAGGTGCTGGTGCCGCCGTCTTGGAGACATTTTATGGCACTGGTGCTACTGCTGCTGAAATGTTGGACTACTGTACTCATGTGGTGC